CGTATTTTCAGGATGTCGTCATCCCATAATAAATTATCTTAGGATGTCGTCATCCTATTTTCAGGATGTCGTCATCCCATCATAAATTATCTCGGGATGTCGTCATCCTATTTTCAGGATGTCGTCATCCCATCATAAATTATCTCGGGATGTCGTCATCCCCTAATAAACTATCTCAGGATGTCATCATGCCAGAAGACATTGTCTTAAGATGTTGTCATCCTATTATCGGGATGTCGTCATGCCATATTAAATTATGACGATATGTCGTCATCCTACTTTGAGGATGTCGTCATCCCCCAACAAATTATCTCAGGATGTCGTCATCTTTCCTGTATTTTGTCGTCATCCGGAGATAAAATATGTCAGTATCTAAACAAATCAGATGGCACTTCCAGAGCTCCGTACCTGGACTTATGCCGTATAAAAGAGAATTGCAGTAGTCAAGGCGAGATGTGATTAGCGAACGTACTGCATGGTGACAAGTGTTCTGATCGATGAACCTCCGAATACGACTTATATTGCGTAGATGAAAGTTGACAGATCTGCATATTGTTGTGACATGTTGTGACATAGATATAGTAGAGTCAAAAACCACACCAAGGTTTTGATGAAAGGTGAAGGTTTGATAGTGGTAGATCCTACTTGAAGTGTCAGGTCAGAGAGAGGATTGATGCTATGGGGAGAAGCGGCAATAAAAAAAATCTGTTTTATCATCACTAAGCTGAAGTTTGTTTGCACACATCCAGAATTTGATGTCAGTGATACATGCTGATAGTTTGTCAAGAGCTATTTTAGAATCTCCAGAGATTGAGGGATTAAAACTGGTATAAATCTGTGTATCATCAGCATAAATGTGGTAGTTCAGATAATGATTCTCAATGATGTCAGAAACTGGTTTGGTGTAGAAAGTAAAGAGTGTAGGCCCAACAACTGAACCCTGGGGAACGCCAAAATCTACAGGCTGTTCATCCGAAAGCACCCCAGCAACACGTACGCGATTTCGGTGTCCTCCAAGGTAGCTGTGGAACTAATTCAGAGCTAACCCATGGAGACCAAAAGATGTTTCAAGTCTCGCTATTAACAGATTGTGGTAGATGGTGTCAAAAGTGGACGAAAGATCTAACATGACAAGTAGAACCGCCATCTTGTTGTCGATGGCTCGCATAATGTCATTTTTCACCCGCAATAAACCTGTCTCAGTACTGTGGTTGCTCTTATAGGCAGATTGAAAAGGTTGATGTAGGGAATTGTCGTTGACATGGTTATTGACACGATTTAATACAATTATCTCCATGAGTTTGGATAAAAAAGGAACATTGGATACTGGACGGTAATTATTTAGCTCGTCTACATCCAGATTAGGTTTTTTGAGTATGGGGGTGACAATAGCCTGAGACAAGTCATGCGGGAAGGTACCTGTGGAAAAGGAAGAGTTAATTATATGTTTTATGAATGGCGCAAGAACATGGACATTTGCTTTAAGCAGCCAAGTAGGCATTGAATCAAGAGAACAGGATTTGTTAGAGGAACCAGTGATGAATTTGATAATTTCCTGTTCATCAACACATTCAAATTCAGAGAGTGGGTGTGTGATATCATTAGAAACATGGCCAGGAATGGTATGCATGGGGACTGATTGAATGATACTATCAAGGCCACGTCTGATCTGAACAACTTTATCACTGAAAAACAGGGCAAAGCGATCACAAATAATCTTCTTAGAATGACCAGTAGTGAAAGGGAATATACAACATTTGCAAACATCGAAAAATAAAACTACCAAGTTTTTGCGAAATTCCTTAATAGGATGTTGGTAAATGACAGTCTAAAGCATCCTGTAAAATGATGGCACCTGGTATACTGTCATTTTCAAGAAAAGTGGTATTTTTGTATCTATTTCCAACGCTGATCGGCCGATCAGCGTTGGAAACAACTGGCTTTTTTTCAAATACTGGCCCCAATTGACCATTGCACTTGTTTGCAATCGATTACAAACCTATGAACGGGTACGAGCCAGCTAGACTGGTTCCCTGACCTTACAATTCCCCAATGTATGTAAACTGCTCTGTTTCTTCTTATATGGAGTCAGGGAACCAGACTACAGGAAAATGATCGTTTTTCTTGGTTTTTATAGCATTTTCGATCCCAAAACCTCCAAAAAGTCAGTGTAACTATATTTGCTTTATATTTCCAACCCCCCAATTCCATCCATTTCTGAAAATTACAGCAAAAGCAAATGATGTATATTCCCTTGAACTTAGTGGAACTATTGTTAAGGAGTTTTTGGATGGTCCGGTAGATATCTTTGACATTGCAAGTGGTTAGTTTATCTTTAAAGTATGATGCCTTGGCTGACTGGATAAGTTCGGAGAGCAATGACAGTTGCGCCAAGTAGGCATCGCGATCACTGTCAAGTGTGCTTTTCCGCCACCTTCGCTCCAGTCGACGCCTGACGCCCCTTGCTCCATGGATGTTGCGGTTGTACCAGGGGGATCTTTGCCATACAGCACGGTCGAGTTGTCTGACGGGGCAATGCTCGTGAAGGATCTGTCGAATAGTTTCATTATAGAAATGAAACTGATCATCGACATTGCTAAGTGCAAGTAGAGGCTCGAGTTTCTCCTTGAAATCGCAGGAAAGCGCGTCGGTATCAATATTCCTAAAGTTACGCATTTCGGAGTGTATCATCTGTGCATCCGGTTTAGTACGGTTAAGTTGAAAGTGCACTGCATGATGATCGGACATCAGGTTCTCGTGCACAGAACAGTTTTGGACCAACTTGTCTTCCAGACGACCAATGACCAGGTCCAACATGTGGCCATATTTATGGGTGGGGCCTGACACAAATTGGTGAAGGTCTGCACTGGCCAGTGTAGCGAGGAATTTTGAAGACTCAGATTTTGTTGGCTCATCAATATGGACGTTGAAATCGCCAAGCATGAGAAGCTTGCCAGGAATTATGGCAATTTCATTAACAAAGTAACATTGTAATTTTGAGTGACCAAAATCCCCACCCTGGGGCATGAAACGTGATCAAATCCTGACATCGAACCTGGGTCAGCGTGGGGGGGGGGGGGGGGGGGAGGGGGGGGACATTTTGATAGGCGCATCACGCACTGTGAGAGCTTGGACCAGAAGAGTTTTGCGTTTGTTCTCTCCTGTGCCACTAGACTAGAATTCAAGCGGGATTGGCCGGACATTAGCCGCCCCGTATCATACCGTACCACCAGCACTGGCGCAGTACGTACCGTCCAGGGGTTAAGCGCGAAACTGCTCTTTTTTTGGTTAAGATTTGTTGTCCTTTTTTTATTGCTTTCCTGTATAGTTGCGGAAAAGCTTTTTATACCTGATTTTTTTTCTTTCCCCTTCTTTTTGTTCCCTCAAAATCCTATAGACATTGTACACGTCTTTTCCGGCCTTCATCTTTGTATACAACGTTTAAAGTCAGCATAGACGTAGTACTTATAGTCAAGTCCCCAAGAGTGACGTCATGATGGCGTCATCGCCTGATATTTTATTTATTTTCTGGGGTAGTTTTTACGTTCTACTCTACCCCTAAAGTGCAATCAGATTGACTTTAAACTAGGCACAGACAAAGAACCCAAGGTAAAGTTGGCTCTAGTCAAGTGATGTCATGATGACGTCATCAATTGTCTTATGAAGTCATGTTAAAGGTGTTTATTTTGATCTAGGGAAATGCAAGTCCGATTAGGTTGGAACTTGATTGTATGTAGACAGGGGCGTGTTACAGACAAAAATTGGGTGACGTCGTGATTACGAGTCTCGATAAGTTATAATTAGTCCCATACCTGGAGAACTACAAGAAAAGTTAAATAGGTCATGGAACTATGTTCAAATTATAAAAAGTATCAACTCATGAAAAAAAAATATAATGCGAAGATCTGGTTCTAGTTTCTTTTTCTTGTTGGGTACCCGATCCCAAAGAATGTGTACATGTTTGATTCCGGCCTACACATTTGACATAAAACAAAGTCATATCCCAACGAAACTTAGGCAAAGACCTTATATGTAAAACCTATACAGAGTGAGTAAAAAAAAACCGAAACCGAAATGTTGGGATCATTGTTTTAGTGAAGTTCTGCATGTAGCACTTCCAAAATCTAGGATATAAAAGCCCACTTCATAAGCGTTCTTTTAGTACACGAATCATTCAAATCACTTACGTACTTTTTAAATTACGGCATTTTAAACACAACCACCGTTTTAAGGTTCTATCCACGGATCACAAAAAAAGTTCAGTGTTCTTTTAGCAAAACGAAAACAAATTACATGGGGATTTGTGTAAATTGTTTATCGTTTTGCTGAAAGAACGCACACCTTTTTTTGTGAACCGTGGACAGAAATTTTAAAACGGTGGTTGTGTTTCAAATTCCGTAACTTAAAAAGTACATGAGTGATTTGAATTATTCTTGTACAAAAAAGAAAGCTTATGAATTAGGCTTTCAAGTCCTAGATTTTGAAAGTGCTACATGCAGAACTTCAGTAAAACAATAGTCCCGACATTTGGGTTTCACCCTGTATGTAGAAGATGGACGTGATAATGACGTCACCATGGGTCACGTGACGTAGGTCGGATTGGGTTGAAAGTTGGTATGGTAGCTCGGGACGTGATTTGAGGTGACGTCATGATGACGTCACCCTGTGATTTATGGTGTACCGAAGTGAATACGTCGCGCGCACAATAATATGTGTGTAAACACGCGCGTGTACTCCATTCGTTTGCACTACTTCCCGGTTCTAAAAGTCGTCACACTTCGGTACTCTATTATGGCTTGTTTTTTTATTGTTTGCACCTACCAAAAGAAGCATAAATAACATATCAATAGACGTCGCGCAGTTGATGGTGGGAAGTCTGTGTATGTGTGGATTGTTGGGCTGTGGATCATACAAAAATAGAACACTATACTGCCGTGTTGAGCACATCGCGAGAAAACCCTGTGTGGATTTACTATAGACTGAAACATATTGACACCTCTATGCCGCAGCAGCATAAGCACATTTTGAAGTCTGCTCATGGCACCATCAGCACGATGTGATGTATTACCCAAGATGACAGAATACAACTTTAGGTAACTCTTATCGTCCCATTCGTCACTTTGATACCCACAGAATGGCTGCCCTCTCCTCGGGACCGTTCTCCACCGATGCTTGGGTATTGCCGGCTATGACGGTGATGGCACATTGCCTGCACACACCGGGGCAGGTAAGGGGAGCTCTGCGAAGAAGCACGATGGACCCACCGGCATGTTTCTATCAGTCATGGGAAGCAATAGATCCTTGTTCATCTTCAGTGAGCAGAACTTCATCAGACGATATGCCAAGTGGTTGACAGATTGGCCATATCCTTTTGATTGCAATTGATAATCTAATTCTCAATGCTTGTTCTTTCAGCAAAACGAAACTTGAACAGTTCAAACATCCCTATGTGATTTGTTTTCGTTTTTCTGAAAGAACACTGAACTTTTTGTGATCCGTGGACAGAACCTTAAAACGGCGGTTGTGTTTAAAACTCCGTAACTTGAAAAGTACATGAGTGATTTGACTGATTCTTGTACTAAAAGAAAGCTTATGAATTGGGCTTTTATATCCTAGATTTTGAAAGTGCTACATGCAGAACTTCACTAAACAGGCATTGAGTTTTTTTTTTTTTTACTCATCCTGTATATCTTGAGAATGTTTGCAGAGTTAATAAAGCGGTACAGAAATATTCCTTAACGATTTGTGTGATCACATTTCGATATGAATTGTCTGCCCCTTTTTCACATTTGAAGTGTCCATTATAAAAAAAAAATGCTTTCTTGGTCTCCAGTCAGATGTCTATTAAAGAGGCTTACGCCACTTGAAGACGATGACGCCTGTGCTTTTGAATATCAAAATTCTCTCAAGAGCATCTTAATTGAAACTGCAGAAAAATTGTGCTATGCAGTGTGGTATTCTACATTAAAGGAGCAGGGTATACTACGGACGTAGTAGAAATTACATTGCAGTTTTAAAAAGTTAACCTCAACTGAAGGTGCAGCAGCGATTGAGAGTTTGATTTTCACTTCATAATTACACATTTATTTATGTTTCTTCCAAAGTTATGAAACATCTGACAATGAATTTCCCCAATTGTTGAAAATATCAGTCTGTCTTGTTAATCAATGTCGACAGAAAGAAATTATATATCACCCATGAATAAATGTAAAAAAAAAATCACTTGTTTTAATAGCCATTTTCTCAGCAACCCAAAGTGCTGTTTTCATTACTCTTTCAATGTTTAAAGGACAAAGCTCCAAGCTTTAATCTGATACCAAACATTTTTAAAAATTAACACATTACGTTTTTGTAAAAAGGCAAACGTTTCAGGGTTGCATATTTTGGGTCACCCTCTATATACATAATGTTGACATGTAAGATTCAGTATAGCAAGCGTGCAGCATTGCTATCTATACAAAACTACTGCACGAATGTCAATACAAAAAGTCTGTTCATGCTCCAAAATATGTTATTTTGTTAATATAAATATAACATATATTTGCCAGCAACTTTGCAGAATTTCAAACATATGTTCTGAGTCCGGATGCGAACAGTGACTTGTGTGCACCGGGCCCGGGTTAGCAGTCCGGCGCTGTTTGGTAACTCAATCTGGTTGATGATCTCACGTAATTTAATTTCATGGACACCAGTAACCAAATACGTGTAGTGTATAATATATTCAACATGTTCTGAATACACGTAGAAAAGTAATACTAGACAGCCAACAAAGCAATAATAGTTCAAAGCTCCATTTTTGGAGTCGGTTTTGAAAACTGACATCACTTTGTGTCCTAGCTTTGTGTCCTATGTTTGAAAAATAGTTCGAAGTTTGTAAAAGTTGAAGAGCAATCAATCATGGGTTACTTCTGTCCTAGTTGCTACCTGAAAAATGGCCACACGTCGTAAAAGGAAAAAAAAATATTGAATGAGATGTATTACTTGTATGCGATAATATTGATTGAAAAACTACGAATTGAAAGGCAAAACCTTCAGGTGAATCGTTTCTTTTCTGCTGCAGCGCAGAAGTTGCCTTTTTTCCGCACACGTAAGGTTAAGACGCGTCGGCGCGCAATAAGTATACACATAAGACGTTCTGATCAGACCCCTAGTGTAATGTGGTGTGAAACCCCCCCCCCCCCGATGCTTTTCAAAATTTCATGGCCGGATATTTGTTGGAATTAGGTCAACCCCCCCCCCCCCACTCACCGGCAAAGATTTACGTCACTGCAACATTAAAAAGTTATTTTGAGGTTTGATGTACAAGTTTGAAGATCATAAAAAAAGATAATTTTGAAGTTATTCATTCATAACAATGTACAGCATGTCTCATAAAATGTAGCAGTCAAACAACTTTTTGTCGGAGGAAACTAAATCTGTTTTTTTTTTGTGTGTGTTCAAAAAAATACCATGAGACGATAGTGTTAAGCGCTTGACGGGTTCTTTTGTTCTGTGTGATTTGGACCTCTTGTTTAAATAGTTATACATTCTTGGTATGTGAATGCCTTTCTTTAGATACCAGATAATCTGAAAAGTGGCCCAACTTGGAATTTCAGTTCTTTCATTAATTAGCTGCATCTCTGGACTGGGGTGCCCAAATGATCAGTTGGGATAAAGAATGTGTAGAGTATTTCTTATAACCGCAGACTCTATAGATAAGTTTTGCACACACTAAAAGAGAGTGCTGGTAATTTTTGATGTTTGTGAATCGACTGCTTAATTATTTATTGACACACGCCGTATAAGTATGCAACGGTCTAGATAGATGACAAAAAGATATAGTTAGCCATGCAAGATTGTAAAATGGTGCTGCATTCTTGTTGTCATTTCCCTTACATTGTCCAAACCAATATAAGTAATTACTGGCGAGGCCTGTACGCAAAAGCATTCACTGGAGATTGATCATCTTTGCATCTGACTTCGAATATTTAGAATGTACTGACATTCCTAACGTGTGACAGCATACAAATCTTTGAACCTGACTTCTCAGACCAACGATATCGTCACCTTTAAATACAAAAGTCCTTCAAACGTAATTCCTTGTTTTAGATTTGTAATTACACTTACTATGTAAGTGGTTTTCTGACTAAATTAATAACAAGCTCTTATTTAAACTCTAAAATAACGTTTCAGATATTGCGGCAAGTAGGCCTATATCTTCAAGACACTTTCAGAGATGTCAAGAAGTATTTCATTTACTGTTGACATACTGCAGTGAGTATAGACGCATGTTTCTTTCTGTACGTTCTTAATTCTACAGGTTGCAAATGAAACAGGTTGTCCCCAAAACGTTCCAGAGCTCAAAAAAACAAGCCGACAAACGTTTTTAAAAGATACTAATTAGTTACAAAGACAGAAGGATGAATTATTGAGAAAAAGTACTATATTTCCATGCAAAGATGACATGAACTGTTGGCAGGGAGGGAATTATGTTCATAGATTTATTTATAGTAATATTTTGGACCCTAATTAGCGATTTAGTGAATAATGTTGTGAGACAATAAAAAGGAAATGTTTCTTTAAAGTATAGGAGGAAAAGCTCATCGAGTCGATTCTGAAGTAAAACAAGTGCGAGTGAAAAATGCGACGCTGATGGCACATATGGAACACCATACTTTTGGTCAATTTTGGGGACATTAAATTTTCCCTCTTCTTGATACCGTCCAACCACTACGTGACTATAACATTACTTCACATATTTTGCCTCCATTTACAAACTTTTCATAAACATCTTTCCGAATTGTTACAAACATTTTTTTGTTTAATTATCGTATTAAAAATATTTGGTTTGCTTTTTTTGTTGTTGAAAATTCAATTTTGGTAGTTATATTTTATGGCAACTGAAGCGGCTTATTTTGGTCATTTTCAGGTACAGACATAATGCAATATAGTCGCGCATGCGCATCGATTGAAAGAAAACCCGTGTTCCCGAAAACTTTCGTCAAGAGTGCATTTACTGACGACGGCATGGTATTTAGTAAATTAATCAATTATTTTTGGTCAACAATTTTGGTCAATTTTTGGGGACAGACAGACAGACAGACAGACAGACAGACCGACAAAGTGACATGTCGAAGCTCCTGCCAGAGCTTTAAAATACTATACCCTTTCCAAAAAACAAAATCTAAGAATCCAAACGATACGATCATTAAGGCGCACCAAGTGAATTCGATCCGTATAGTCACATAAAATCACAAATACTGTGCCAACTTCCTAATTGACTTTGTTAGAATAAATGGGGAAATAGTTATTGGCCTAAAGAATAAAATATAACACTTGTGATATTTTGTGGGATATGCGTACAATAGTCCTGGCATACCATTGTGTTCATGTTGGAGGTAAATTGTTTTCATCTGAAATGCCGGTAAACTATTTATACATAATGCAGATAATGTTGCTGGTAGACTTAAACGTGCATCTATAACAAATATACGTCACGCACATCGAGGTCGTTTCATGTTTCCATGAATATGTTCATCATGCGGAAGGCATTTACCGATCTTTTTTTTTTATTGTAGCTGTTTATTAAAGAATTGATTATTAACTCCAAATAGGCCTAGATATATAGTTAACTCTTACCACCCTGAATCCATCAAACTCCATACCTTTTTTCTGGAGTTTTCAGGCGGATTCAGGATACCTTCATATTGAAAACGGGATTTTGATGGATTGAGGATTGTAAGCCTAGCGGTACTGTAGGATTTTGATGGATTCAGGATACCTCCATACTGAGCAGTCATCAACACCAAATTTGTTGTGCATGACACAATAGGTGGATTTTGGCGGATTCAGGATACTTTCTAGTAAAGATACCCATGAATGGGTTAGGGTGAATGAAAATGTTGAAATTATATGCCTGGCGTTAGTCAAATACATTTATTCTTCAAAGACTGGCGTGTTTATCCCCATATTTAGTGCATGTGTGTCCATGTTGTTAATATTTGTTTGCGTGCATATGCTGACACACTCATAGTTGTTTGTTGTCATTGGGTAATTCATGCTCGTTTGTCACTTTTGTATTCTATATTCACTTTAAAACATTGACTCAAGAATTGGAACTATAAAGATATCAAGGCTATAATGTTGCTAGTACCAATGTATTGGCTATATCTCTAGGAAGGGAATTTGGAACAGACGGTCCATCACTTTGACAAAATCCAGTTATTTTCACTCAAAAAGCTCCGTGCAAGTAATAATTATCTGCCCGTCTGCTTTTGGTAACTTTATGTTGACAGGAGTGTATTTGTGACCCCTTTGTCAATAAACGGTTTGAGCACATATAGAGACGCCGTCACAACAAACATTGCAATTAGTGAAATTTTGATTCAATAATTCGTTCGAGTTTCTAGATAGGGCTACCAAAAAGTGCTGTGGCCAATATCGGGAAATTGAGAACCAGAAAATATGACACAACACTGTTTTGTGCTTACAGAAATTTACGAAATACATGAAACGAAATTTTGGCTAATAAAGCATACCATTTATGTATTTTGCGGAATTCAGTGCTCAGCTTCACCATGACATTATGTTAGCCCATGTTGTGTAACAGTGTCTGTGTTTACAGCAGAGGCGTAGCTGGGGGGGGGGGGGGGGGCAAGTGTTCTGAAAACATCTTTGGCGTCTAGAAAATGTCTTCCCTTCACAATTCCCGGTAACTTGTTTATTATATTGCCATTTTGTTTATTTATTTTATAGCATCTTTCTGTAAAACGATTTCACCAGGGTATTGGTGATTTTCAGTTTACTTTTTTTTTTTTACATTCCATTGAATTCCTTAACCTTATTCCTTCACTCCATTCGAGTATCTAATCCTTGCTACCATCATAGCAAATTGTGTTGTCCTGGCTCTAGAAGTCCATCTACCAAAGGAAGACAAGACGCCCATGTATATGGAACTGGTGAGTGTTGACATAACTCTTATGCTCCAACTTGAGGGAGCTGTTGGATATGACTACCGTGTTTCAAGGGCCAATGAAATGTATATTTTATGCGATCCTTGAAAATGCATCTTTGTGTCCCATTTAACCTTTTTTCAATGTTCATTTTATCGTTTTCGAGGTTTTTTTTTTTTTTTTTGGCTAATGCGAATTCCCATATTCATGAGCAAAAGTGTGACCTCATATCAGGCTGAACCTCATGTAGCAGGTTGCTAGAATTTTGGATATTGCGCTGTCTTAAATGTTCTTTTCTGTAATGTTTTAATGAGCAAACTTTTGGGTTCACAATTTCAACAGGAAAACACTTAATATCAACAGTGCCTTCCAGACATCATGGCAACAGCGCCGGCCATCAGTTGTCAGGAAAAGCATGGACAATTTTTAAATGTTTAAAGAAGTGCACATTTTAATAAAATAAGCCAATAAGGGATGTCAATTAGTTTTTCAGAAAGTAGTACAAAGGTTCCTAAAAAGTATTCACTTTATTGGCCTTTTAAAACAAAAAACGGTGCTTTGAAATGTTCACCCGAACACGTATTGCACATTGTTCAAGTCTTACTTGTCAGTAACTTTGGTCCCAGTGTCTGCTTTCAACCTCGAGAGCAGCCATTGGTAACGTGTATAGAACGTTGTAGTTGTAGAACTATAATTCATAAATCATAAATTGATTGTAAATTTAATTTTTAATGCAAAATCATTTCTTTCTCTAATAATAAAGCCGAAATACAAAAAAAATATGGTTAAACAAATTAAGATTTCCTTTTTATTGGAATTGATAATAATTCCTCCATGCATTTATCACTTGCAAAATGTATTTAAAAAACAGAATTTCTAAAAGTGGCCCAGGTAAGCTTGGGGGCCAACAACTTTTTTTCGTGAAACTATAAGGATAACTGAATTACCTAAGGCTCACTTGGGAAACTGGATAAAATTATATGATTGCTTTTACATTTTGTTCGTAACAAATTGCAACTTGTCTGTTTTTATTCGTGGTGCCCTTTAAAGTTCTCTAACCATAGTTGTTTTACGGGGAGAAGATCAAGGGCGGATCCAGGGGGGGGGGGGCAAAGGGGAAAATGCCCCCCCCCCAAAAAAAACGAAACCAATTTGTTTTTATTTTTTTATGTGACATTGCAATAAAGGCAGGCAATGAGTACACAACCATTTTTTCCTCAAAAAAAAAAAATTGGTTAAAGTGGTCAGAAATTGCCTCAGATCGCACCACAGAGCATCTAGAATCCAAATAATTTTTTGACCCACTTTTTGGGGGGACCAAAATTGTTTTGGCCCCCCAAAAAAATTGTGTTCTGGATCCGCCCTTGGAGAAGATACCACATCCATGTAGGTCTACATCATATGTTTGCGTCTTGTATTGTCCGCCTACAGGAGAAGACGGAGATTTACTTCCTTGCCATTTTTGGCCTGGAAGCAGCCATCAAAATCACGGCTCTAGGTCTGGTACTACACAAAAACTCCTATCTCCGCAGTGGATGGAACTTTATGGATTTTGTAGTCGTAGTTACTGGGTAAGTTTTTGTTATTGTTTCATGTAACTACTAACTTATAAAAAAATTTAGATTTTAATTTTTATTGGGTTTAGGCCTAATGCGTAGATTTCCGTGTTTGTTTTATTTGATAACAAAATTTGCAACGTTTCCTATGCATATGAATTCCTTTAAGATTGATTTTAATTGTAGAATTTTGATTAAATATTGATAATTGTTATCCTTTTCTTTATTTCATTTTGCCGGATGTCACCGCCCTGTTTCTGGGGGGGTGGGGGGGGGGGGGGGGGGGGGGGGGGGGGCTGCAGGGATGCCTGCCCCCCCCCCAATTTCCCAGGCCAACAAAAGTGACCCTCTCGCAGTCAGAAATGTGCCTCTTTGAAATGAAAACAAAACATGCCCCTCAACGCATACATGAAAGCATGATGATCGCACTTAACAATTGTCTCCTCTCTTGCAATGCAAAAGTGCCCCTCAAAAACACAAATACCCTCGCGCATTAACAAGATTGTGAACCTTCTCGAGATGGAAAATATCCCTCGAAAGCACAAACACCCCTCTTGCAATAATGAAACTGTGCCCCTCGAGCTCTAGATGGGAAATTGGCCATCAAAAACAAAAGTGCTCCTCTCACGATAACTTATAGAGATGGATACTGCCCCTCGTAAGCAGTGGCGTCACCAGACTTTTCAGTCTGGGGGGGGGGGGGGGGGGGGGGGGGCACAGGGGGGGGGCACCAGCATTTGATGGGGGGGGGGCACTTAGGTGGATACGGATCGCCGTCCTGGGGGAGGGGTCTAAGGGGAGGGGGTGCCCCCCTCCCCTTTGGAAAATTTTCGCATACGGAGGATGGGCTAGATGCAAAATGGTGCCACATTTGATGCTAAATTCGATCTGAAGATATCTCCAAAAATTGCTATTTTTGAGGTAATGATTTTAACAACGCGCAGAATTTTGCAGAGGATAGGGGGGCACCAGCATTTGATGGGGGGGGGGGGGCACTCGGGGGGGCACTAGGTTTTCCAGGGGGGGCACGTGCCCCCCTGGCCCCCCCCCCCCCTCGGCGACGCCACTGCTCGTAAGCATGATAGTGCCCCGCTCGCAACATTATTATAATTATTATTGATGATTACAATGACCACATGTATATTCCATTTTGGCCAAAGCACACATTTTTTGTGTGTATGTATGTATATATATGCATAGGGTTCCCATGTTGACAATTAGCTCTATCCTCTTTTGGGCTCCTGTACGGTTTTCACTCCCCGGCCTGTTAAACAATATATTTGATGTACATGTACATGTATTTATTTGTGAACACTGGTGGAAATAAATGAACTGAACTGAACTGAACTGAACATTAAAACTGTGCCCCTCTCAACACGGAAAACTGACCTTTAAAAAAATAATAGTGCTCTTCACGCGAATAAAATGTCACTGAACTGGCCACAAAAGCAACAGTGCCCCTCTCACGAAAAAAAATGGTCCCTTTGCACAGGCTTACTAGTCAAATTCAAAGGCGGACCCAGATAGGTTACCGCCAGGGTGTGCTGGAGGCTGTCTCAAGAGAAAAAAAGAATTTATTTGAGAGCAACACTGCTATATTGAGACTATTTCAGAAACATACACTGTATTATTTTGAGTAAGGGAATTAAGATTTATACAATTTTTAACGCAAACATTTATAAAAGTGTATGTCAATGTTGACAGTAAATTTTGTTCCGTGTAACATGTATTCCTTGCAATGTGAACGAAAATAGTTTCACAACTTCCTCCTCTTTCACATTGACGGATAGGAAGGTGGCTTTTTTCTGAGCGAGTGCCCCTTTTTGGTTCCCCGCCCCTCCCCCTTTTGAAAGGCCTTCCGTCGCCGCTGCTCATCCAAGGAACATTCAATATAACTGGGGGGGGGGGGAGCAGTCGTATAACAAGCAGGAAACAGAACAAAGATTGAAAATACGAGAAATACAACTGAATGAACTCTTTCCATGCATGAGTACTAAAACAATTTTAGATGAAAAGTTTGTGCAGTTTATACGTTACTTATTTTAGTGGATTTTCAGTAATCTAGTGTTGCACCCCTTTTGAAAAAAATGGGAATGTCCAATAGCAAAATTCGAGGTCAAAATGTCAAAACACTACATGTGGAGCGGAGCTAGCTAGCTAGCTCGAGAGACACGCGTGCCGAGACAGCTGCGGAGTATGTGTGGCGATCGAGTGATCATTTCGGAAATTTTTTAGTCCCCAAAATGTTCCGACAATTTCACACTGGGCTTTGTCAAAACATGAATGGTGATATGGTGAGGAATACTATTCTAGAAATTCCATGCGTTGTATATTAAAATTAAATTGGGTCATTTCCAGAAATTCCATTACGAGACGTGTTAACTTGCCCGAATGCCTCTGTGTACGTGTGCGGCCAGAGGCATTAACCAGTTGCGCAATTTGCATTTTCTTTTAAAAAGCCAAGGGCAAGGCTAATACTAGTAATAGTTTAGCCATCTGTTACCCGAATCAATATAATGGCGATCGTGAAGTGTAGGGCCCCTGTTTTCTTTTGATCAAATTAGAGTCAAAAATATTTTTTATTGCTCAAAAAATCACCTTTAGTTTACAATCAAAAGCAGACTTTTCTCAATTCTAATGACAATCATTTTGCAATTCTGAACAGTTTCTTGGGGTAGAAATCATGATTTTCCTCAAGTTTGTGCCTTGCGATTCAGAGCGCCGTGCGTGCTCACGGTACATCGCGCGGTGATCGCCATCTTCATTTTCGGGTTGCATGTTGTCGCCGCGCTGTCATCGTCATTTTACCCCCAAATTTCCCTCAAATTTTCAAAAATAAAACCTTGCCCTGTGTTTATAGCTCCATGCTATGACATACCTGTTTATAGAGAATGCTGCCAACTAGTTTGGTACATGTAGGTCTTCCCTAAAGTGGAGTTTGTTCCCTTATAGGAATCGGGCCCTACACTACACGATCGCCAATATAATAATCTCAACAAATTCAACTGTTGTGTTCATGCTGTTGCTTAGTATTCGCAAACATTATGGGCTTTGGTAACATTAAAAAAAAAGAATTTTAGGATAGGCCTAAAATTTATACCAAACAATATTCTAATGGGTATGACACTGTTCTCAACGCAATGGCGTTTGTTTTGGCAACTGTTTTGGGCCGGCCAATTCGCCAAAATATTGTTCAAATGGGACTTTTGATTTACACTCATTTTCATTTACATTTTCATCGCATGTTTTACCCTTCCTGTTCTAAAGTTTTTAAAATGCCGCATCCCCACCTGCCATTGCCAACTCCTCAGAGTTACCCCAACTGGCAGAAAGATTGCAGTTTTATAGCAGTAACCAGGAATTGGGGAAATAATGTCGCAACCTGACGCCACTTCAGCGGTTGTGTACAAATTCAAAAACTGATGCATAGAATGTGAATACGATCCAGGCAAGGATTTGAGGAAATCCTGACAACTCAATCAAACTTGTGCACCAATTGGGATTCAAACTAGGATCACCAAATATGCAAGGCATTCAGGCAAGGAAACTTTAATTCCCTCCAAGCTGAAATCTTTGTGCAAGTAATGAGACAGCAGCCGTAACAAAGTGATCCTCCATCCTTAACTTACTCCCCAAACCAACAACCTGATCCTTGCCACTGTCTTCCCATTACATGGTGTCCCTGCAGGTTTATCACCTTCATAGGGGATTTGATAGAGGAAGGATCAGGCGACGGCAGTTCTGGGGCTCCAGACCTCCGCACCCTTCGAGCTATAAGAGTGCTTCGACCCCTGAAATTAGTATCAGGCATTCCAAGTAAGCTGAATTGTTTTCCTTTGCATGAAACAATTGAGCTCAACCAATTCCGGTACCCTGGATACTCCTGGGGCTGGCTGCATGGCCAGAGTGGTTTGGTCATGGACACAACATGTCGTCAGCGTTTTATTGAAGGGACAAATGGGCCAGGGGGTGTTCAACAGTGCTTTTGAGAAAAACGGGTTGAAGTTGCCCACTTTTTGAAATAAAGATCTCGCCTATTTTTTGAGCACATGCCGACTAATTTTTGATACAGATAGTCAGGATAGTGAGCCGAGATCTTAAACTTTAAAGATGTACCAATTACAGTACAATAGAACAATTAATTGTGGACTAATTAATTTCCATAGAGATTTGTCTTTTGTAAAAACTCCAAATCCCACACCCCTGTTATTTTGGCAAATTGCCAATATCCATTGACAATAGCCTTGGCACGAATTGAACTCTTTGTGAAAAATTAAATTCTACACGTGCATTGTTTTTGCCTCATAGAGTTTGTGATAGAGTTAGAATTTGTCTCCTCTTGAATGTTATCCAACTATGCTGACTTTTTTTCTGGTAGCTCTTTACAATATTTTCATTCATCCTATTCCCATTCATTTGATTCCAATGTTTGTTTCCGTCTGTGACAGGTTTGCAAGTCGTCCTCAAAGCTCTGCTGAAAGCCATGGCTCCTCTCCTGCAAATCGGCCTGCTGATCTTGTTTGTCATTGTCATCTTCGCCATCATTGGGATGGAGTTTTTCCAGGGAAAATTCCACAAAACCTGCTTCGAAACGGATGAATTTGGTAACAACACAGGTAAATATAAAACAGTGACTTGCCCCCTCACTACTTAAACTTTTTGATGAAATTATTTTATAATAAATTTTAAACAAAATCTCTGCATGTATGCAAAAATGCTTTTCTTGATAAAAGTGGGATACCTGGTAAAATGCCGTGTGACCCACTATCTGTTGGAGTGCTTTGGCCTTGTGGTCTGGAGCATTGAACCTGGGTCTATCTGCAAGTAATTCTGCAGGGTTGTGGGTTCGATTCCCACCTAGGACTGTGGTGCATGTGCCCTTGGGCAAGGCACTTTGTCACTCATTGCTTCTCCCCACCCTGTGAGGGCAGATATGGTTATTGTGATTGATTTTAGCTGCTTTGCATTCATCAAACAGACATAGTTCTAGATTTTTTCTATTTTGGTTACTTTCAGACTCATGTCTAAGGCTAGTCCAAAAATTTGGGACTCTCAGTACTGTGTATGAGAGTCCCAAAACCTAAGGTACTGAAAACATGCAATACAAGAAAATAGACTGACATCTGAAGCATCCAGTCAAACAACTCTTCAGTACTGCATCAATCAACTGTCAGCTGACTGTACCAAAAGAGATATCGAGCATGATAAGCTTGATTTGCATGAAACAAGTGTGAAATGATGCGAGGTTGAACGCGGGGTTGAAAAATAAAAAACTAAACCCGGGGCGGCACTGGGTTCGCCCAGGGTTGAGTTCAACCCGGGTTGAGAGGCTCTAGTTTGAAGAGGGCAAGTACAAGTCAGATTTGGTTGTTACTGGACTGTTACTGGACTATTTACTAGACTGGGATGTATTACAGATGAATTGATAAGTGACGTCATGATGACTTCGTCACATGTTGTATATCTGCAGAACTAAAGGTAGGTCCACTTTGGTTACATTGTGGTATATGTACATGTACATGTACATGTATGTTTAAATCCGGGATGTGTCATAAAAGAAAATTGAAGTGACATCTATGATCACATCATCACATTACATGTGTACATCCTATATCTACAAAACTATTCGGTCCTTACATGATCTGCATGTTTCTACTGCACATGCACAATATGTTTTATCAGTCTATAACATGAGATAGAAATGCATTATTACAAAACAGCCATATGTTTCTCCACATCTAGTTTAGTTATTATAAATGATTATTCTCAGATTTATTGCACATAATTTGCTTAATGATATTTTCAACTTTGCTTTTCAATGAGAATTGGGCTAAAGTCTCAACGGAGACTCATCCATTGTAGTAATTTGTTTCGATTGAAATATAAAAACCTCTAGCAACAACACAGGCCAATAGGCATACATGGCGTTTCCATTCTCGCATAGCTTATTCTGCATCCTTGCCCTTCAGCATCATCTGCCATTTTTCCCCCCATTTTTTTCTTCATTTTTAAAATGAATTGATTTCCTTTGTTCTTGTGGAAACTAGGAGTCATATCCATGGCAAATGGGGATCCCCAAGTGTGCGCAGATACCAGTAACACTGCCGGTTACCACTGTCCTAATAACACCATTTGTTCTGAGTATTGGGAAGGTCCCAACTTTGGCATCACCAACTTTGACAACATGCTCTTTGCAATGCTGACGGTATTCCAGTGTATTACCCTGGAAGGCTGGACCAACATCATGTACTATGTAAGTAACAAATATTTGCCCTGTTCATATTTACATCGACCTAAATACAGACTGCATGCATATTAATTGGTATGTGTCGTAAGCCATATGGCAGCCAAAGAATGCGGTCTGTCACTTACCATGAGCTGTGTTACTACCACTGGACAAAGGCCGCTGTGCAGTCATGCTTGTAAGCCAGTGCAAGGGGTTAACACCCCCTAACAGCTCGCCCCATGCCCCCCCCCCCCATTGACTTGATCCGAGGTCATGAAGACACCAATTTCATGGCAGTTCTCTGACTGTTAAAATGGTTGTTTTTATTTCATTATGGCGTTGCCAAATTTACCAAAATAATTTCATCCGCCAAATTCCTTTGCAGCATTTTTCCAATCAAATGAAAAAAATATTTAGAAAACACCAGAGCTGCCAACTATTACAAATTTTTCGTAATTATTACAAATTTTTGTTAGATTGACAAAAATACGAATTGCCTCTAAAAAATTACGAATTTCTCATTTTCTACCTAACGGAAAAAAAAAAACTTGTTAAGTATCGTTTTTGTGAATATACGTGGTACCGACCTGTGCAATGTTGTAATGGGTAACAACAGGAACCAGTTACGTGTGAGACTCGCATTTTAAGTTGGTACCCAGAAGATTGCCATGTGAGTCCGAAGTGTTCATCATGTTCATTGTATTCACGAAACATTTTTCGAACATTATGTGACATCATCATGACTTCAAAGACAACAAAAAAGGGCCAATTCTTAGTGACAAGTACTGTATTGAAAGGAATTTGAGTTTATCACAACGTCCAGAAAAGATAAATCAGCATGCGTTTGCAAGGTATGTTGGCGGGATATTTGTATCGCGTACGGTGTGCCTAAATATGTGTAAAAACATACAAACTCGAAACTCAACATTGATAGCATGCATCTCAGAAAAATATGTGCACATGTTATTATTGTCATTATTTATTTGACTTCAAACAAATACAGACAGTAAAACAAAATGAGGGCATAATTAAAAAAAAATTAATAATTTTTTTTTCTAATTAATTTTTTTTTCTTTAATTATCCTATGTTTTACAGTAAATTATTAATCACAACAAGAAGGGTATGCATGAGTATGTATGTGTACGTGTAAACCATATGTACCTGTACCTATATGTTGGTGAAGCTGGTACATACACTGTTAATGTATGCGCAGTTGAAAATGACACCACTGGTTGATTATTAATTTGGATTTTGAAAAGTTGGCAGCTAGGAAATACCAGTAGATAGCTGATGTTGCTAATATTCACAAAGCTCATTGTTCATGCAAATCCATGATCAGTGGACCATTTAACTTAAGTCACGTACAGTAGATGCACATAAATTCCAATCGTGAGTGCTTGCACATGCATGCACACACACACTCTGACTGGCATACATGTGCGATTTATACAAAAAAGAAATATATTTCATATAAAAAAATTATGCAGCACCAAAATTATTTATGACTTGGAAGCCCATTTACTTTTAAGTGAGAAACTAATTTCAATTGCCCTACACGTCCAAATCATATCACTGTTTAAACGGAGTAACCAAAAAATCAGTTTCGTCCTAAAAAAGCAATTTATTGTGTGTTCTAACTTGTTTGGAACAACAAGGAAAATGACACAGAATACTTATTGCTTCAACAACTGTAGTGAGTTACAAAATATCTTTATTTAAAATCCACTTGTTGTTTTAAAGACGGGCCTTCAAAAGGACTTTGTTGAATGTAATTAACTTTTAAACTTAGGTTTTATCACCAGTGTTGTAGTCGAGACCGGATAGTCCGAGACCGAGACCTGAAGTTGCGAGACCGAGACCGAGACCAACCCATTCAAGGCGGACCGAGACCGAAATGGTCCGAGACCGAGACCGAGACCGCGGATAATAAATAACAATAATCTAAATAAAAAAAACAAGACACTAATTACAGCTGAACAGTCTGTCCTTGAGATGATGATGTTGATGGGGATGTGAAGGAAGTGATTGAAAGCAGGAATCACTTGTACCTGCTTAATTGTGTCATGCGAGTGCTCTTCATTTTTGCTTCATACCATAAATTACAACATGGCAACAGAATTTGTTATTGTCCAGTCAATTAAAAAAAAAGGGAAACAACCTTATTTAAAGAAGGGGAAAACCTAATTTGATGAACTCCATATATTGTTGCCACTTTTTAAAAACATATTTTTTAAAATTAATATTGTTTAACTACTATAAAGTGTCAATCTGATGAAGAAACTCTAACTTTATAGGAGTACGGCAATTTGTACTAGTTTTTTGCGATGTTGAAACTTGCCATAAGTAAAAAGTTAAAGGTGGATGTTTCATCTGTTATAGGAACTAAACTAAACTGTTGCAGAACCCTAAACTCCACAGCCCTTGGTTTCAGCAATGACTACTAACGGATATTTCAAAGCAGCTTTAATTTTACATTGGACCTCCTTGTAAACCTGATTCAAAAAAAATTTGGAGCAAGAAAATATTGATTTATTTTTTAAAATTTCAGTCATGGAATATAGACTTGTACATGTAGACCCAAAAATTGAGAGGTGGTCGCCAGAGAGGCCTGGCTTAGGCTGAAATGTAATTTCCATTTTATTTGTGTATAATGTCAATACCATTACATATACTATAGAAGATCGATGAACCATATTTGCCTGATCTATCTGTTAATCTGCCCGCCGTCATCATCACCATTAGCCTATTTGAGAATATGGCCGACACAATAGAAGGGCGCTGTCACAAACTGAATGTGGTGGGCGAGATGTACATTTAGGATTCATGGCTGCATGCGCACGCCTATTTGTGTTTTGTACCAGCGTATCACCCGCATCGGCTACTATGCCGGGCGATAATACTTGAATATTTTAGTAATTTACAAGTACAACATATTGCCAATATTTCAATCGTTTATTGTGATGGCCGTAAACAGCATTTAGCGATTAACCCTAACCCCCTAGGCCCTTGTTGCTTACAACCATCCTCAATCCTCCAAAATCCTCCAACTCCGCCTAAATTTTTCAAAATTGTCAGACAATCCTGCCTCAAAATGCATTCATCCTCAATCCTCCAAAATCCTCCTCATCCCAAAACTTTGCACTCGTGTTTAAATGAAGGATAACCAACGCCAAATCCTTCAAAATCCTCAGACAGTCCTGCCTCAAAATGCATTCATCCTCAATCCTCCAAAATCCTCTTGTGCTTCATTCACCATTCATCCTCAATCCTCCAAAATCCTCATGTGCTTCAATCACCATTCATCCTCAATCCTCCAGAATCCTCATTTGATTCAATCACCATTCATCCTCAATCCTCTAGAATCCTCCAAAACCGCCAGGAGGATTTTGGAGGAGTGAGGTGGGTTAGGGTTAATGGAACAAAAGTCTTCTTGACTCATGCAAGCGCAATTGACATTTAGAAAGGAGACAAGGCAGGCAATAAAACTCTATTTTTGTGTGACTATGGCAGTAGCTCAATTTGTGTTTATCACAGATGAAAAGATGAATACATGGCAAGTCAAAAATAAAGTGACAGTATGATAAAAAAGAAATGGCACCCTCCATTTTGTAAAAAAAAAATATAATTGGGATAAAGAACATATTATTGAGTAGTAACTCTGAAAATTTCACGTAATTTGCATTCTCTATTTCCAAGTCGTGCCTATTTTAATAAAGAGATCACAAAATTCAGTTGTCCACCACTAATAGCAATTTAACGGTCTACGAATTGATGAATATCCATTAATAAATATAATGAAAAAAAAAAAAGGTTTTCCCGCCTCCACGAATAAAGTAAAAATTGAAAAGGAAAACCTTATATCGATTGAACTGACCGTCACGTACCCTTTGTGATTTTTTCCTCCATTGATTTTTGACAGTGTAACAATTCCGAAGGGCCGTATTTTGTCTGGCTGTACTTCATACCTCTCATCGTCATAGGTGCGTTCTTCATGTTGAACCTCGTTCTTGGTGTCTTGAGTGGGTGAGTAGCAGTATTTTCATTATTAAAGATCCGTTTTGTCTCACCAGATGTACCCGCTACATGTAGGCCTGTGCTTTTAATTAAAGTGCATATATATATCAGGCATGAGGTTTTTTTCAGACTTTTGTCTGAAATGTAACTTTTGAATCTGTAGAAATATATTAACAGTATAGAAAGAAATGTGACATTAATCCAAGTGCAATTGCATTTCTTTCAGATGTAAGCACTGCATTGTTGAGATTTCAACTCTTAATATCCGCAGAGATCTCACTCACTTAACATCCAAGTTTGTTTGCCTTGGCGGTTGTAAAAACTAATTGTTATTTAGGTCTTCTTGTGTAAATTCCATCTTCTTCTCAAACAAATTCAAATGGACCATTTTCCATTCGCAGAGAGTTTGCAAAAGAAAGAGAGCGCGTAGAAAACAGACGAGAGTTTCTGAAACGCCGGCGGCAACAGCAACAAGAGGAGGAACTGGACGGTTACTTAGAATGGATATGCAAAGCAGAAGAGGTCATGTTGAATGACAATACGACCTCCAAGGAAGAAAAACCAATAATAGAAGGTCAGTTTCAAAGGTCATTGTTTAGAATTCAAAGGTTAAAGGTCAAGTCTGAATTCTTCCTGATTTTTACTTTAAGAGTTTAATAAAAGGAAGTAGGTTGATTTGTGTTTACACAATTCCGGTAATGAATCTGTTTCATGCAGAGCATTTAATTTTTGAAATTGCAATCTTCGCTGTGTCCCCATTTTGACCTTTTTTCTATCAGTGAGATATTGCCGTTATTTTATGATGCACATTCAATTATTTGGATATCATAGCAATAACATAAATGTTGAGGGTAATATATGATCCAGTACCTGGCTTTCATGCAGCATGGTTATTTTCATCGTTTGGGTGGACTGCTTGATTTTGAGTTGGACGTCTGTGGTTCGAATCCCCCAGTAGCAAAAAATCCTCTAAAAAACATTTTGAAGCAGGTGATACTTTCTTTAGTGACCGAGATTTTTAGGAATCCAGATGTGGAAAAAACAGAAAGATGTTAATTACCAGGTAGGTTTGTAGAGGGATGTTTTTCATTTGGATGTCCGCGGTTCAGCTGCTGCAACTTTTAAGTTCAAACAACAACATGCAAAATCGCTTCCTTACTTGACCTTATTCCTAAGAGAAAAATAACAATCTCCATACTTTTCCACTGTTCACTGGTTCCCAGCCCCTCATCATCACGTGCATAATCTAACCCGTAGTTAAGCCAAACTTACCGCTTCCCATCCCATATATATCATATCAGTGAAGATCAAGAAGCAGAAGAGATGCCTCTGGCTTCGTCACCGAGAGAAGAAGTTACGATTCTTTGTGCGTCACATGGTCAAAACGCAGGCATTTTATTGGCTGGTCATCGTGCTGGTGTTCCTCAACACTGTCTGTGTCGCTATTGAGCATTACGGGCAGCCAGAGTGGCTCACACAGTTTCTCAGTAAGTATACAATGTAACTGCCTTTTTTGGCACATTTATCTGATTTCCAATATAAGTGATCTAATTTTGAAACAGTTTCATACATGTAACATCAAACAAACGTTACAGACAACAAATATTGACATGAAAGAAGGTTTCTACCCCTACTTCTCAGGCAGTATTCTTTTCATTTCATTTCCAAATGAAATGGTCAAAAGGTCAAAGGTCAAGGTCAGCATGGTGAGATAAAGGTAAATGGTTTCCGGATGATAACTCGAGTTAGAAATGAGATTTTGGTGTCTAACTTTGATAGGGGGTTGCCCTTGGGTGTAGGCAAGTTGGGATTGGTTTTGGGGTCAAAAGGTCAAAGGTCAAGGTCACCGTGGTGAGTTAAATGTAAATGGTTTCCGGATGATAACTTGAGTTAGAAATGAGATTTTGGTGTCTAACTTTGGAAGAGGGTTGCCCTTGGGAGAAGGCAAGTTGGGATTGGTTTTGGGGTCAAAAGGTCAAAGGTCAAGGTCAGCATGGTGAGATAAAGGTAAATGGTTTCCGGATGATAACTCGAGTTAGAAATGAGATTTTGGTGTCTAACTTTGATAGGGGGTTGCCCTTGGGTGTAGGCAAGTTGGGATTGGTTTTGGGGTCAAAAGGTCAAAGGTCAAGGTCACCGTGGTGAGTTAAATGTAAATGGTTTCAGGATGATAACTTGAGTTAGAAATGAGATTTTGGTGTCTAACTTTGGTAGAGGGTTGCCCTTGGGAGTAGGCAAGTTGGGATTGGTTTTGGGGTCAAAAGGTCAAAGGTCAAGGTCACCATTGTGAGTTAAAGGTAAATGGTTTCCGGATGATAACTTGAGTTACAAATGCGATTTTGGTGTCTAACTTTGGAAGAGGGTTCCCCTTGGGAGAAGGCAAGTTGGGATTGGTTTTGGGGTCAAAAGGTCAAAGGTCAAGGTCAGCATGGTGATTTAAAGGTAAATGGTTTCCTGATGATAACTTGAGTTAGAAATGAGATTTTGGTGTCTGACTGAGGTAGGGCTTTGCCCTTGGGTACAGGCAAGTTGGGATTGGTTTTGGGGTCAAAAGGTCAAAGGTCAAGGTCACCGTGGTGAGTTCAATGTAAATGGTTCCGAATGCTAACTTGAGTTAGAAATGAAATGTTGGTGTCTAACTTCGGTAGGGGGTTTCCCATTGGTACAGGCATGTTGGGACTGGTTCTGGGGTCAAAGGCCAAAGGTCAAGGTCACCACGTTGAGTTAAAGGTTAATGGTTTCCTGATGATAACTTGACTCTGGCTGAGGGGTTTCAACAGCAACGCTGTTATTTTTGTTTTTTAAAGTGGCCTTTTTTTAATGTCATGCGAATTTTGGCAATTGTGCTGCCATGAACAGCGCCATTTTTGCTGTTGGTGATCATCCGGTTTGAACAGTGCCCCATAGGGAGATGGTGTCCAGACACACCCCCCCCCCCCACCCTGTCTTTTTTAATTTACTGATCGGTGAACAAATCCTGTATACCTTTCAGCAGGGATTGGTGAGTGTCTTGTTTCGAATACCCCCCCCCCCCTCCCCAGTGAAAGTGATCTTGCTACGGTATGCTGAGGGCGCGTACATTTCACTGGCTGACAATGTGCCGTTGATTGATTTAAATTAAGAACTAGGTGTCTACCACAGAAGCAAGGATTGAGGCGAACATTTATAGTGAATTCTTTGATGATAACCAGCCAAGAGTAATGGACCAATCAGATCACAATTTTTAGTCAGGTGATCCACAAGCACTGTGAGAAAATGTACCCAACCCAATAGCCTGCAGGGTCCATTCATGACCTTGCTAGTTCACATAGACTTTTATCATTTCAAGAGCCGTGATGACCACATACTCAGTAAATTGTTTTGTAGAGTTTTCAAGAGTTTACCAAATCTGTTCACATCCACAGCCCATGCAGACTATATCTTCTTAGGAATCTTCATCATAGAGATGGCCATCAAGATGTATGGCCTAAGCCTATCGGGCTACTTCCGATCTGCCTTCAACAAGTTTGACTGTCTGGTGAGTTATCCTGTCGCTCTGGGTCCGATACTTGAGTTACTTCCTGGCCAATCTTATAGCAGTATCACTCCTCATAATCACCATAATTGTTGTCAAAGATTGATGAGAGGTATCAGATTGATGAAAGATATCGTCTGTTGCCAGCTTCGCAGTATTGAGACGACTGGGCCACCGGTCACCTGCTTTGTGAGCGAACAACTCAGGAACAAACACAGATACATGTACTTACACACACATCCACCTTTTACAATTGATAGTATAGTAGCGATAAATTCATCCTGTAGTTACCATTCTCACTGGTACCTCATCATCATCATAATCATCATTTAGTAGTTAATCTCATATTTTGTTGTACCTGTTGCCTTCTGTTCTGTAGGTTATCCTGGCTAGTTTGTTTGAGATCATCTATACTAGGTTTCAGAGTGGTTCATTTGGTTTCAGCGTCCTTCGAGCCCTGCGCCTTCTTAGAATATTCAAAGTAACAAGGTAAATCAACAGACTTGTCTTGCGTCATATTCATACATTCACTCAGCATAGTATAGTTTGTATTGGAAAGAGTCACTGTGTTCTTGATATGATTTTCTTTGAGTGTCAAACCCAGCAGACGAAATAAATGTCAGACAAATTGGGTCGTTTTCCGAATGTTTTTCAAAAAATGGGACGTTGTCAAGTCAAAATATGTACTAATTTGACTGTTGTGCATGTTACAGTTGGAAGTGATTGTATAAGTCGTTAGTTCTTGCCGTTTTGTGTCTAATTTTTACCGCTGTCAACAAAACATTTCGTCAGCTCACATTTTCTTGCATTTTGATAATTTGTGTTTTCAGTCCAATACAAAAGGGTCCTTCTCGTGACTGACGTTATGCCATACCCAAGGATTTGAGAATGAACAATACAGTTGACAGTTGATATATTACTTGTGATGTCATTTTATAGTCCTCCTTTTTGCATGGTAACATGAAAGGGGTAAAAGTCTCAACCGCAAAGCAACATTTGCGCAGTGAAATCATAAAAAAGCCTTATAAAAAATGTAAGCCCTCAATAGTCACTTTACACCCGGGGTTTGTCATTCTCTTTCAGTTGTCTGCTCTTCAAAAAAAAGACTTGCATCCCAAGAATTCTATTAAAAAACACATCACAGTCTCCCTCAACTTTCAAGGAATACAACACAAACATGATAGATTGATACACTCATGAATTGACAAACCACCAAACACTGGTTCCTCAATGATTATGCAAGGCCTGCAAACTCCTTGGCATTGATTTGTGAATGGTGCACCCCTTCCCCTGTACATGAATGCATACCCTTAGATGTACCCCACTACCTACCCCTCCTGAAATTAAGTCCCATTGAAATCCTTTGCATACATGTACACCGTCCCTGTTCGGCTCGTTTGCTCCATCCATAGGCTATGATCCATTTAAACCAGCCCCTCTCAATTGTTGCTTATCCCACAAGCTTCTTACCTGTCTTGGGAAATTACTTAAATTTCTATGCCCAACATATTCTAATCCTAGTACATAGTAGACCTGCTACTGCCCCATCCTTCCCAAAACAGGGTTTGATCTTAGAGTGCTGCAAAGCACATACTGTTGAGCAGCTTGCTCAAAGTAACAAGTTGCCAAAAAATTTGCCCTGTGACGTACGTCCTTTCTTACTGTATAGGTTTGGTTTCTGAGTAGAGCTTTCTGCTAAGCCCACATAGCTTTTTGGGGATAGAGGTTGAGCTGTTTACCTACCGACCGGTTATTTTTGTCTTTGTACTGCTGCTTCCTCCCCAGATACTGGTCTTCGATGCGCTACTTGATCCTCTCCTTGGTGCAGAGTATTCGCTCCATTGTCAGTCTGGTGTTCTTGCTCTTCTTATTCATCGTCATATTTGCCTTGCTCGGCATGCAGCTATTTGGTGGCTCGTAAGTATGGCAGGACACCGGTTGACGGCGCGTAGCTGGACTTGGGGACATCTTGGTCCAATCTCCAGGACTTCTAACATAAACCCCAGAAACTCAGTAGTTTTTAATCACATAGCAAACATCTTTCAGCACATGCAAGTATTTGATATATTGGTAACTGTTTTTTATGTTAAAAAGTCCAGAATCTTGGCCAGCGAAAAGCAAAGAGAAACGATCAATGATTGGAGTACACATCACCAAAACACAAACCAACAAAAATTGATTCATTCAAGTTTTGAAATGTAAAACCAATGAAGTGCATTTGTCTTTCTCATGCAACTCTAGAATTATGCGACCATGAAAAATGTCTTTGAAAATTGCCCGACATTCATAAGTTGTTTTTTTTGGAAAAATAAAAACAAAAACAATCAGCCAAAAATACTGATGTATATTTTTGCTTTATATTTTCTTCCATTAATAGTGCTTTCGTCGTTTTGTTTTCTTCTCTAGTTTTAACTATGACCCTACCAGCCCCAAACCTTCCAACAATTTTGACATCTTTCCAATCGCACTCATGACGGTGTTTCAGGTGAGCTCAACTTGTGGATACGTGCTTGTTGATACCAACTTGTTGCTACAAGCAGAATGCAATGTGGCTATACTGAATTGATCAAATGATAGGTTTTGCCCTTCACCGACGTTTAAACACTGTGTGCTCAGTGTGTTACCTCCTGAGTGAAAGCAGTTGTCTTACCATTCGACCACCGAGCTAACGGGATCGGTTGGCTGGTTCGAATCTGATGTGTTTTTTCCAACTTTCACTCGGGAGGTTACATACTGAATATACAGTGTTTAAACGTCAGTGAAGGGCAAAACCTATAATTTGATTTGTATCACCCCGATGTAAAATACCATCTTATTATACTGAGTAGGTTCAAACCCCGCGTCAGCTTTCAGCTTTTATTGGTGATCACTTGAATAGCATTCAATTGGTGCTAGGATGACGTTCAACTTATCTACCTGTTTCAATATGTTATTTGGATAGATCGTTTTAAAAGCAATTGAATGGTTTTAGGTTCCAATCCAACATGTGTTCTTATAAGTTTGTTCCTTGTGAATGCTCAGCACTTGACTCAGCACTTGAACAACAAGCCAGTGGTTAGAGGTTCGGATCCACATGTTTTCATACTTTGGTTTTCCATTGAGCACTGACTTGTCTAATAATCAATTGGAATTAAGCTTCAAATTTGGCAGGAACTTACTGTGCCTACTATTGTAATGGTAAAGCACTTGACTAGCAGTCCGGTGGTTTATGGTTCGAATCCCGCTGATGTATTTTTTTTATTGTTTTGTTTTATAGATCTTGTCAGGAGAGGATTGGAACGTGGTGATGTGGTATGGGATACAATCTCAGGGAGGCGTGTCAATGGGCATGATCTACAGTCTCTACTTCGTCATTCTGACGTTATTTGGCAACTGTATCCTTGGACGTTAATTATTTCAAACAAGGCCCGGAGCTACTTTTCCAGTCCTGGCTGACTGAAAATTCCTGCTGAAAAAACATTGTCATTGTTTACAAAGGCCACAAGCAAGAAGCATGGCAAAAAGCATGCAAACTTCAGTCACAGTATTTGTTAATTACAAGTTAATTACAAGACAGCGATAGAAATCTCCACACAACTCGCAATATAAATGGAATTGAAAGTGTTTAAAGTTACCTTTGTTTGCCACTTACAAGTTACTGTGACTCGCCTATGCTTCAGGAAGATTGTGTTTAGGGACATGCAAACATATAGAGGGTGCTATATTACAAGAGTTTGCGAAGGATACTTCACTGTTAACATGCACTGCTCACCTTGTATCAAATCTACGTATACCAGTATGCACAAAGCAAGATGGCTCCCAACTGTCCTTCAATATCGGCACTCTTTCTTGTTATCAAAGTTGAGGGTTAAATGTTCCTTAACCTGATTACACTCAGACACCCTCTTGAATATCTTCCTTGCTATCGCTGTGGATAACGTGGCTAATGCCCAAGAGATGACCAAACTGGATCAGGAGGATGAAGAGGAGGCTCAAGCACTGAGAGATGCCGAGCAGAGAGAACTACAGACTCATCGTAACTCACTGCAGCCTGGACAGGAAGCGATGTAAGGAGGCGGTTAGAATGAACCCCATGAATACATGCCGTGAATCCTCTTATACCAGAAAACCTGAGTAAAGAGCTGATATTCGGGCTTTTGCACAATCCCAAACCAGGATTTCAAGCCTCTCTTATCTCCAGCTGTCATCTCCTCACTCTTCTGGAGGGAGTTTGGATGAATGCTTAACACCAGCAGGGAAAAGCAATATGTCTTGATGACTAAACAACTTGTGGGGATTATGTCTTTCTTGCAGATTTTCATAAAATTAATGGTCAATGTAATTACTGTTTTTGTCAAGTAATGAAACCATCTATTTATATTGATACCTATAAAACAGGAGGTCGTGGGTTCGAGTCCCACCCGAGTGATTTTTTTGCAACTTTTGCTCGGGAGGTAATACACCAAGTATGCAGTGTTTATACATTGGTGAAGGGGAAAACCCCATATTGAAACCATCTATTATTTGAACTGTTGAACATGAATGGTGCATAAACAACAGAAAACTTGAATGTGGGACTGTACCTAGGTCTATGTCCATACACATGCAGAGTTATACATGGTGTATGTGTGACAGAGCTAGAGACGCTGTGTTAACCTGCTCTCTCTCTCGTTGGACTTGAGTTAATCTGTGTGATAAAATAACCTACAGTCAATACATGAAACAGCCGTCAATGCACGATGGACTCGTGATATCACAGAACTTTCTTGCCAGTGGAACTAACAACTTGATTGCGACCTGAGCCGAAGTCTACTCATAGCCCACATGTTCTGTGCACATGGCTGCAGAACATTATTAGAGCAGAATGATCAGTTTCAGGGGCTAAGGGACATAAAATAATGGAAACATTGGACGACAGTGAGACTTACGGCTGATCATCTTTTTCTTTGTGAGATCAATTGCAGCACGCATAATGCAAACACACATCCCTATCTCACCACAGCATGGACAGAGAACAACGGATAGGTCAGGTCTTATGGAATTAAGGGGCAGCTAGGGTTATCTGATTGAAGAGGTGGGGTTACGAGGAAAAAGGGGATGTGTCTTATAACAATGTTCAACTATTTTAATTTATTCTCTCCAGAGAGGGAAGTGCAGCCATCAATATGAACGATGCCAAAGGGATAAATGGAGACTACAAAGTTGAGAATGGTGACCCAGGTAGGTTAAAGGTCAAGTGTCAATGGTAAATCATAAAGTGACCATCTCTCCAAGTGATTGTAAATGGAGAACACCATGCAGATAATTACTATATGGAACCTTAACCTTGAAAGTCCACAGGCAAATACTTAATCAGTGGATAAAATTGAGTGAGAATAGAGGTCAAATGATGGACAATTTTAGGAATGATGGTCATCTTAAAATCATTTAAATACTGCTGACGTGGGCTGGTCGTAGTAAGACTTTTCAAAAAGTATGAGCAACAACTGTTAGTTCATTTCATTTCGCAAACGCTAAGAAAACTGCTTAAAATGGTAAAAAGAAACTCCCAACAATTATTTTTTTCTTATAATTATAAAAGCTGTCCTGGCCAAAAGGCCGAATTGCACGTCAGTGTACAATTCATCTCGAAATTCTGGTTCCCTATGCTTATTAATTCATTTTTGAATCACACACTCAAAAATGTCCACGCTAAAGTGACTTCTCAAATGTAAACTGCTTAAAATCTTAAAATGATACCCCAAAACCCCATGCAACCGGTGCACATGTACATTACAATATTTGTGACTGTTATTTACCTTGTTGGCTGTTTTTGTCTTGTTTTATCCATGATTTTTCTATTTGTTTTATTCGTGCTTATGCTACTACAACCACTACCCATTTGACCTTTGAACTGTTGAACCCATGAACGACCCCTGACCTCAAGCAGAGATCATAGTGACTGTGGTGGACCCTCCTGGATCCCGCTGGCGCCGCTGGTTTACCTATCTGCATGTGCATGGTATCCCATGGCCGTGCCCCGCTGTGGGACCGGTGAATTGTCCCGGTGTGGATGCCGTCTGTAACTCCACCTGCTGGTCTGCTTGTCCCTGCTCACGACCCCCCTGCTGTGGTAGACGGGAGAACAAAGATGAAGGCAAGACTGGTTTCATAGATTCAATCAAAGAAATCAAATAAGAGTGTCAAGAAGCTGCCAATATGTCTGGTTGATGTTGAGCAAAGTGGCCTTTAAAATGGCCTTTGCAACCTGGCCTGTGACCTCAATGCATGAACACTACGAAATCTTTGGCGGGACATTATTGCGTGCACGTGCTAGTTCATGTGCATGTGGCACAAAGTTTGTATGAATACATTTGTTTCTAAATGCAAAAACAGGTATCATCCTGGAAAGAATGACAGGCGTCGATTGCAATGCACTCCTAGGTCTATCTTGTAATACCAAGTAAGGGATTACTTGTGCATGGAGTCTGCTAGTTCACTGCTCCCACTCATGTGTGAAAACATGGTGAAAATAGTGCGGGTACCAATGATATAAGCATTCACACTGTACGTACAAAAGTCAGTGTGTTTGTGATATCCCACAGGGAGTGTGCCATGACTTTTTATGAACTTAACGTATGATCATTAAAAAAAAAAAATACAGCATTCAAGACAGAAAGAAAAATAACAATAACTTGTATGGTTTAACTCTTTCTAGCGCTTGGCTGTATAACAAGTTCAGTGTCTGGTCGGAGCTATGTTAGTTTTGTCTGTGAAAATAGTTCATCTTATGCCATTTTGCTTTTAGAAGAGCATGTAAAAAGGAATGCTAAGTATAAAATGACATTGTGCTGTCCTAGTTCCTATACCTAATAAGTAATGATTGTGCAGAGGTACAGAATATAGTGAACATTATTTATCTGGTTAAAATTAGGTCATCACATTTTAGTCTCTCAGAATTCTCAAGTTATGTTGATGATCATTAGTCAATTATGTTGATGACGATTGAAGTAAATGAACTGTACCACTTATAACTACAATATTTTTCTGGACAAACAGCTAGAACTTGTTATGATAAAACACATTGGGGTAAATGTAACATTGATAACGCGAGCAATCTAAACAAGCTTGAGGATTGAACAGTTAAGATATCTTCATCAGTAGGCAGGAGGTTGTGGAATCGCATGTCGCCAAAGCCATCAATCGTTTACTCACAAGTGCTGGCAATACTGTATCCAGTTGATATAAATTACACCCTAGATGGAAATGTCCCATTCAATCAGGGATTGATTGATCTGCAGTTATCTTAGTTTAACTTGGCTTTGCATTTCAGAAGCTCAAGACACTCAAGGAGACGATGAGTTTGGACCCAAGGAGATGGTTCCTTACAGTTCCCTCTTCATCTTCAGTACCACCAACCCGTAAGTATCCCATCATATTAACTGGTACCCAACGCCCTATCCTACAACCCTGGTGACTTAAAATTTGGTGTTTAAAATTACGTAACTTGAAAAGTACAGGAGTGATTTGAATGATTCTTGTACTAAAAGAAAGCATATGAATTGGGCTTTCATATTCTAGATTTTGAAAGTGCTACATGCAGAATTTCCCTAAAACAGTGGTCCCAATATTTGGGTTTTGTTTGTTTTGTTTGTGAACTTTTGCTCATTTTCTGAATGCTGTGCGATAAATCTGCATTTTGACTACTTAGTCGTCAATGCAGGCTGGTTATGACAGTAATGAGCTTGGCAATGGTGTCTCTCTTTAAACCTTTCATTCATGTGCATAAAGTTGCACGGCTTTCTGCCCTTGTGTCAATGTTTCATAATAATAATAATTAAGAGAGTGGTGGGTTGCAACGAACCCACAAGATCACTATAGCTGCGAGTTTCCATTGAAACTTTTTCTTGTCAGCTGAAAAAAATAATGAATTAGTTACAGAGATCTATGTGATGTATGCAGTACCAAAACGTCCTGTCCCATTGGGAAAGATATCCCTCTGACAAAAGAAAGTGTGAAAATGAGGACATTAGCTCTTTCATTCCTGGACTATAAGTAGTGGTACTTAAACCTTGAAATTTGCGAGTTTCTTAACATAAATTGATAGCAAGTTCTTCTGATATTATTCTCTCTTTGTTTCCCTTAGCATGCGACGGTTCTGCCACTACATTGTCAACCTTCGCTACTTTGACTTCCTCATCATGGTTGCCATTGCTCTGAGTAGCATCACACTAGCTATGGAAGACCCCATTCATTCAGAGAGTACCTACAATACGGTATGCCCCCTCCCTCCCCAGACGCTATGCTCCACCCCAACTCCCATCACCCACTACACTCCCCAACCCCCATCACCCCAAAAGTTTCAGATATAAAATAACAAATAAAAAAGTGGATCAATGCTATGGTGCTGTTGATCAGACAGACCACAAAGAAAGAATTGTTTGAATGTCTTTTCAGTCATGTGGTTAACTCAATCAGGTTTGTGACTAAAGACTTACCGGTACTTCCACTGTTCAAATATGCGATGCGTTCAAGCTTAAATGAGTGGGTTTTCACAGCAGTAATGCTGGTCTTTTCAAGTCTGTTAAAAAAAAATTACCAGGGTCGACAAACGACTCATTTAGCTTGATCGCATCACATATAAAAAAGGGGGTTATTTAAAAGGTCTGACAAAACTTTAGGAAAAGAACAGATTTCCAAAGGGTTTTGATTTTTCAGATTTTTGAAGATGTTCTTGTCTTTCTTGAAGGTTCTGGAGTATTTTGACTACATCTTCACCACTATCTTCGCCATTGAGATGATACTCAAGATCACCAATATGGGATTGCTGTTCCATAAAGGATCTTACTGCCGAGATGTCTGGAACATTCTAGATGCTGTTGTCGTCATCTGTGCAGTGATCGCTATCAGTGTTGAGCTGTCGTAAGTAGCAAAGCTCCGTGGAACAGTTTTGAACTGTCTTTTGTTTAAACCAGACCAATTTATGATATTTATCCCCTTAATTAGTAAACCTTTAGTACTGTACCAAAAAGTGGTGGTCTGTAACTATATATTTTCAAATAATGGATTAAACTGTCTGATTATTTTTTTTATAGGCAACGAAGTGGAGATAACTCGAGTGCTAGCCAAAACCTGAACACCATCAAAGCGCTCAGAGTGTTTCGAGTGCTACGACCCCTCAAAACTATCAAGAGAGTTCCCAAACTCAAGGTGAGCGCAAGCTGTAACCAGACCATCACAGATCTTCCAAGATCCAGAGTGGGTTTGGTGGATTTTGTAGGATTGAGGAAGGTAGTGCCAAGCAGGTTTCGCTGACTGTGTTGGTACAAAACACTGTGCCACAGGTTAATCCTACAAAGTAGAAGCAGAAATTGTGATGAGGGTTATTTCATATACAGTGTTGCATTCTCAGGTACTTTTAACATTCTAGAAATCTCCATTTTTTTAAAATAGCTATAGGCAAATGAATCTGTCTTGTAATTGTTGAGGATCTATTTACAGACCAAAATCTCACTCTAATATACTACCTCTAATTGCCTATCTGTAGTTGTGTGCTATGATATACAGTACACATAGTTGTCAAAGCCAAGTATACATTGCTTCAATCAGAAATATCTTGATGAGTCGGTTGTTAATACCCTGCGTTGCCTCCCACTAGGCCGTGTTTGACTGCGTGGTGAACTCCGTCAAGAACGTCACCAACATTGCCATCGTCTACGCTCTCTTCATGTTCATCTTTGCTGTGATTGGTGTTCAGCTCTACAAGGGTCGTTTCTTCCACTGTACAGATCCCTCCAAGCACACCGAGTTAGAGTGCAAGTAAGCCAATAATCTTAAAAAACCCACAAACAAACAAACAAGAGCCACGCTAGTAAAGACTGTCCAAGAGCGCACAAAATCCATCAAACTGATTCAGAATGGCTGTTCCCCTGAAAGTCTTGTCATGCCTGTGGCTAACGAGGTGGATTTAGCCCATTTAGTGCGTTATGTCAAAGCTTGCGCACACCAGTAAAAACGAATTGCTAACGGAAGTTTTCCAAAATGCGTCTTTAGACGCGTCTTTGGAAATGACCTTCCTGGAGTGTTTTCTTCAAAATGACAGCATGCCAGAAAGAATAATTTCACATGAGTTAGGTGCCATGACTATCTTGAAACCAAGCTTTTCAACTATAATTTTGGGCATTGGTTTTGCATGGAATGGATCGGCGCTAGTAAACTATTTGTGCATTCAGCTTAAAAATGGAAAAAAGAACGCCCTCTGATGAGACATCGGCAAGCATTAAGGTCTATTCTGGTGCAATATATCCCTTACTTTTTTATTTTGAAATTGAAAGTGAATTAAGTATTGAGTTGAAATTGATCCAATAGCATTAGTCTGTTTTACACAGAAACTTGAAGGAAGACAATTGTTAATCATTTAACAAGTGTACTGAAGAGAACAAAAAGATTCCTGACGCAAAATTCAAAGTTTGGTGCCTGAAATCCTACCAAGTCTTTACCAGAATTTTTATTTCAGTTAATTATAACAAATTACTATTCGGAAGTTTCATTAACATTTTAAACTCATTATTTTTTTGGGGTGGGGGTGGAGGTAGGGGTTAAGGGTAGGGGTAGGAATTATGAACTTATCAAATGCTGATTATTAAACAAATTACTACCAAGTCTTTACCAGAATTTTAACAAATTACTATTTGTAAATTTCATTAGCATTTAAACTCAAGTTTTTTGGGGTGGGGTTAGGAGGTAAGGGTAGGGGTAGGAATTATTAAAGCATGGTTGTTTTTGTTTTTCCCAGGGGTAACTTTTTCGTCTACAGCGGTGACCTGATTGCAGAAATTCAGCCCAGACAGTGGGAGCTGTATTCATTCCATTATGATAACGTCTTTTCAGCGTTACTCACTTTGTTCGTTGTCTCCACCGGAGATGGATGGCCTGAGTAAGTATGAATATATTACAAAAATAATGTGAAGCCATCAGGCCGGTGTCTAGTGCCAGATTCCTTGGCATGAAACCACCGAGAACATTTCAGTTCCTTCCGCCAATCTTTCACAGCTTTTTCCCTAGCTATCGGTGTCATGATATGTGGACTCCTGATGTCTTTTACCTCATATGGACTCTAACCATCACGCATGCCCTGTCACTTTCCTAATTAACTTCACTTATAGACATGCGCAATACAATCAATGAGTCGGAATTTTGTAAGTCCAAATTTTACAATACACCAGTACCCATATACACTATCGTGTGGAGACTCAAGAGAGGCAAGTAGAAGAAATGGCATGCCCATGGACACAACGTATGACCAGCAGCAGGATTCAAATCCCTGACCTGACCATCATTCACAAACCTTTAATTGATTACTGAGTCACTGACTGACTGACTCCCTGACTGACTCCCTGACTCCCCCCCCCCCCCCCGACTCCCCGACCGACTGACTCCCCCACTGACTAATGACTGACTGAGTCACTGATTGACTTAGTCACTTAGTGTCAATAACATCTTTGGACATCCAAGTCCAGCTTGACTAAGGCAAACCAAGACTTGTCAAAACACCTTGCCAAAATTCTTCCCTCTTTTGGTGTTACATTTACCTGATATGTTTAGTACAAACCTAGCACTGAAACAGACAAAGAACAAACAGCTGAGTAATTCTCCCTATTCCTGTTTCTATCCTAGTGTCTTACAGCACTCCATTGATGCGACAGAAGAAGGCCGAGGCCCTGAGCCCTACAACAATCTCTCCATGGCTCTCTACTATGTGGTCTACTTCATCATCTTCCCTTTCTTCTACCTGAACATCTTTGTTGCGCTGATCATCATCACCTTTCAGGAGCAAGGAGAACAAGATGTCCAGAATGGAGACATTGACAAGAATCAGGTACATCTAATATCCCTCCTCTTCCCCCCCCCCCCCCCTGTAAAAAGTCAGATCATAATTACTGGGCTGCATTACATAGACAGCTTTTAGATAATATTGCAATCTGCCCCTCGTATGATTTTTTTCAATTCAGTATTGTAATTTCTTTCTGATTTTAAGTGGTCACGACAGGTGTACCGTATGAGACAGAGTAGTGAGTTCTAAGCCCCCCCCCCCTTTCCTTGCCAGTCCCCATGAGCTCTGTGCGGCAACAAGAGAGGGTGCTTTGTGCCACTCTTGTGAGCCATGTGGATGAGACACACCATGTGAATGGGACACACCATGTGAACAGGATGGTTAGCATTTTTTCTGAATGTGCACAAAGCCATATAGCGTCTTTGCTTTGAACATCAGGCGTGGCTCTCTCGCGGTCTCCCCCAACTCCCCCTTTGTTACCGTTGAGGGGGGTACTTGTGCACGAAGCCCATATTGTGCCAAGACTGTCCCATATTACATCTAACGCTTTTGTTGTTTCCATAGAAACAATGCATGGAGTTCTGTATTCAGGCCAAGCCCACAGACGGTTTTGTTCCTGTCGACAAGAACTCCATCAAGTACAAAGTCTGGAAACTGGTGGTGTCTCGACCGTTTGAATATTTCATCATGCTTCTCATTGCTCTGAATACCATCGCACTGATGATGAAGGTACTCCATTCTGATCCAAACAGACGAAGGGAAAACAGCCAAACAGACAGACTAGAAACCAAATGACAGACAGACAGACACACTGACTGACTCACAGCTTCAAGGCTGTAAGTTCGAAACTTGACCCTCAAACATTTTGCTTTGCTCAACAATAGTCCTGGAATGTGTGAAAGTTTACAGAGATAAACAATAATTCAAGACAACTTTAACGATCCGTCGACCCTGAAAAATGAAAAAAAATGTTGCAAACTTCTTACTGACTGGATTGACCTGAAATATACAAACCACAATGTTGTGAGGGTCTGACAAATAAGATCAAGACAGGAGCTTTCTCAAAGAGGCTAAGTTAGATTTATTGAAAGCAAATGAAATTATAACTCAAGCTGTGAAGCTTTAGACAAGTCGATTGTTTTCCAATCAGGAGAAAGGGGGCTCATGTCGAGAAACAGCGGACACTTTCATTGAAATGAAACAACACTAAGTTATGACAGTGCATAGAAATGACCCGACTGTTAAAATGATAATACTATCAGAGCTATATGGAATAATTGGAGCATTCAACTGTTGTGTGAAGTGACATAAAGATAGCCAGGTTGATGCTAGCATTAGAAAACAATTGCAAAACTTGCTTGACAACAAGCAGGAGTCATGCGTGTACATCAAGTCGCATATGTATTCAGATTGGTCTAGAAAATCCCATTCTTTAATTATTTATTGCAGAAACATGCACAACTTGATTCTCCGTTCATTGCTTAGTCCAAAATGGCTTGAAAAGACTCTCCATAAATTCAATATGGCTCTGACGTCGTCATGCTAATCCTGAGTGTGTGTATTATACCTCATGTCTTGTGCGTGTATGTAGACCTATAAAGCAACGGATACCTACACAGACACTCTGAAGTACTTGAATATAGCATTCACTGTTATGTTCACCATTGAGGCAATCCTCAAGCTTATCGGCTTTGGGCCGAGGGTAAGAGAAAATGACCGCATCGTTATCATCCATCAACATCCAAACGTCTTCTCCTCAAAGACGTGTCACCATCTTGAGTTTGACACACGCCTCTCAATTCCGCTGGCTTTTCTGTTTTTCAGTTTTTGGTGGTATACAGGGTGGTGCAAAGAGAAGGAAAGCCACTTTTGACAGCAATTTTAACCTACTCGTTGAACATATTTCAAAATTTCAATTTAATGGTATTAAAATATTGATCTTTAAACATAAGTGACCAAAAATATGATTGCAAATGCATATTTTGTCTCTGAGATGTGATAGTTTTGTTTGTCCATGGACGGCTATATTCCATCTGCTTGACTGAGCTCCGGAGCTTGATTTGAAAACCAAAAACACTACACTAGACTTACACATGTACAACAGTGATTTTGGTGACTTGTATTCAAATTAGAATAATAACACTATTCCTGTGATTTTTAAAAAGATTTGTTCCACAATGTGTGGTTAAAGAGCTATACTTCACTACATTATAAAACAAAAGCAGTTCAAATACGTTAAGTAGGTACATGTAGGTTAAAATTCCTGTCAATAGTGGGTTTCCTTCTGTTTGCACCTCCCTGTATTTCATGGCATGCTGCAAGGTTTGGTGTTTTTTGGTATCATTAGGAGGAGCATGTAAAAGGAGTGTTTTTCAAAATTTACATCATCTGTGAAATGCACCCAAAAAAAGTGCTAAAACAATCGATAAGTGAAACAAAAATATAAAAATGTAACTAAAATTATCACTAATTTTTTCATCATTGTTTTGAGAAGTTACTTTTGTGCAAATAATTTGAATGTGAACAATGTTGGTATTTTCCTACAGCTTGTCATTCAGTTAAATTCACTGTAAATTTGTCTAAGAGAAACCTCCTTTTACAGTCCTATGCATGCATTGGATTCTTTTTCATACCAAAAAAATGGCATTTGGTTGATTTTTTCTCTCCCACATTTCTTTGAATCCCCTAATTCCTTCCTTTTCTTTCCCTGTCAAACCAAATCCCTGGTATCCATGCATTCCCCTCTTTTTGCCTCCCTATTGCTCCTCCTCTTTCTCTATCTCCACCTCTTGATTTTCTTTCATCATCTTAGAAATACAAATCCTCCCAGGAGTACGTTGATACCTTAAACTACCTCAATATCGCCTTCACGGTTCTCTTCTCGATCGAAGCCATCTTAAAGCTTATTGGCCTGGGACCGAAGGTACAAGTATTCTTATCATTCTCTCCTCCTTAGTTTCCCGTCATTTGGGCTCTACATTGTCAGTTGAGGGCGCTATAACTAGTATTATACTCATTTGTGGACTTGAACTTGAATCATCTTGACTCCCTATCCAGTGCTTCATAAATTTATGGTCACACACTATGGTAAAGCAAGACGTGTGCATGGCATATGCCATAAACTTGATTATACAGGGTGGTCCACAAAACAGCATACCTTAAGACTCAAACCACTGTACCAATGGATGGAAAATCCTTGTAGAAGAATGATGATACCAAGATCTCCCCATTGGGTCCAGTAGTTTTTGCCTTTTTTGTGAATCACACTTCTTTGATGTAGGTATTATTATATACCAATCCCTCTATCAATTATAATGTAAGTCAAATTCCCGGGCATGGAAATTCACCGGACAAAAATGACCCCCACCTTGCTTCACAAAATAGGTTCTAGAACAAAGACTACTGGACCGAATTGGGCGATCTAGATTTCATTTTTCTTCTAAAAAGATTATCCGTGCATTGGTACATGTGGTTTGAGTCTCAGGGTAGTGGAAGTATGCCATTCATTTTTTTTTTCCATCGTGTATAACATATGCTCAACAGTCTTTACCATCACTAAAAAGTAATGATGTTATAAAAAAGAAAGAAATGTTACAGAGTTTTGAGTTTTCATAAGATTGTGTATCTCTCTAGTATACCCTGACATCACCCTCCACTGGTAATGCATATGAGCGATAGTAGAGCTTGGGTCTATGCTTACATTGAGATGCAGTTTTATCCACCCAAATTGAACACTGTCGTACAGCCAAGCAGTTCTACAAGATAAGAGCTAAAACCTGTGGGTCTAATACAAACAGAAGTCGTATTTTTATGAAGAAAAAGTGGTGGATATGTAGCTCTAGCTAAATCTACTGTTGACTGTAACAAGTTCTGATCAGATTTGAGTATCAGAAGTGACGAAAGTTGTTATTTTTGCTAATCTTGATCAAATTGGCTTGAACAAATGCTGGTTATTTAAGTTAACTATGAATGACCACCAGGATTTCTCCAGGCCACCTTTTTCTTCTTTACATCAAAATGTGTCATGGTGGTTGGCTGATTTTCATACTAAGTTGTTTGCGGTAGCACCATGGGACAAATCTCTTTTGTGAGTATGTGTGGTTCTGAAAAGAATCGGAGGGTACTCAACGTTTCGGACAGTGTGCTCTGCCCGTCATCCAGAGACTGCTCTGACTGAAAAGAACCGGAGGGTACTCTCTTATCTTACTATTATCCTTTCAGTATGCAAACCTTCAAATCTCATCTGCATACCATGCATGTTTTCTTTAAAATTTGAAAATCCACATAAAAATGCAGGAAGCAGCATTTTTCCATTGTTTGAAAGTACCTTATGCCATTTAGTTTATATTTATATTATTTGTAGCATGAAATTTGTGACCAGTTAGCTAAAAAAAAAAAAGAGTGAGTGTTGGCAGTGACGCCATGTGGCAGAAAAGTTTTTGAGAAGATGTGGGGTACTGAGAAGAATTGGTTGCTTGTGAAACTCAACGTTCCGATCAGTATATGCTCTGATCGTCTTCAGGAGATATATCTTCAGCGGCTCTCTCCTGAAGACGATTGGAGCATGATCTGAACGTCGAGTCTACAACCAGCCGGTTCTTTTGAGAACCGCACATCTTCTCAAAAGAGTTTCTGCCACACGGTGTTACTGCAAATCGCCATGCAAAGTTTCAAATTTTACTTAAGTAAAAGAACGGGGCCGTATCATAAGTCCGACGCCTCATAGGTCCGACGCCTCATAGTCGGAGCTATGAGGCGTCGGACTTATGAGGCGTCGGACCTATGAGGCGGAATAATTAAATGGTATGCCTCATAAGTCCGACACCTCATAAGTCCGAATTTGAGGCGTCGGACCTATGAGGCTTCGGACTTATGAGCGGACCCCAAAAGAACACTGTTACTTGTTTTTTCTGCATATGTCTTAGTTTAGGTATTTTTTATCATTTAAATGTCTCGCCAACACCCCAAACATTTTTCTGTTCCACACTTCAGATGAGTGAAATTCAGAAATGTACTTCATCTGCCAACTTTATCCTACCTCATTTCTTTAGAGTTACCCATATCATCCACCTCTAAACCTCCACAAATTGTCCCCAAAACAGATATTTCTGTGATTCATTATGATTTTGTTAGTAAACTGATAAGATATTTTTGTTTCATCCAAAGACCCGTTGGCATTGTCGTTTCATTATCTTTTATCCACACATTTAGTTTGTGTCCCTCATATTTTTGTTGGTATTTTGAGAGATGTCAAAATTTGTATTTTATTAACAAGACTCTCAAACCCAACTTTCACTTAGAATTACTTCCGGGTGTCTTGGAACGTATTTGACTTCATCACCGTGGTCGGAAGCATCGCAGATGCAATCATCTCAGAAGTTGGCGTAAGTTACTTTCCACTTTGGCATGTCCCAAAAAGAAGGATTAATCCGAAAACCCCAAACCTAAACCCCTTTAGCATCAAGCTGCGCTTGTATTTGTAAAATTGAAAAATCTTTGAAAGATAAAAACAAGTATCCTAAGAACGTTACATTAAATACTATTCTTTGGCATGTGTGGCAATAACGTAGTTTTGTACTTCCTAATACCTACATCTTTCAATAATTAAAATGGTACTATTTCAAGTGATCAAACCTTAAATCTTTGCATGACTATATAACTAAATTTCAAAGAAGAAATGACAGTCGGAAATGAAAAAATATTTTAGCAAAAATCAAATGATCAAACAGAGAGTTGAGTTGACAATCTTTTCACATTGTGTAAGTATCTCTGTGTGAAGCACAAACATTTGGGAAAAAGATGAGAAAGTTGTTTAAGTTAAGTTCCCAGAGTGTCGGATCCAGGGGCACCAGGAAATGAAACAAACACCGCCTTCCACCCCAATCACCCCCCACCTCTTGAAAAATAAACCGCCAATCTCAATGAAAGGAGTTGTTTACATCTTACTCGCCAGCTGGTCTGTAATAATAATTTAATAATAATAATACAAAGTATTTATATAGTGCTTTACAAAGAACAAAGCGCTTAACACACATCCACGGCAAAGAATAACAGGCAAGAATTATTTAGCTATAGGGGTGTTACTAAAAAAAAACACACTGAACTTTTTGAAAATAAATTGGTTTTGTTTTAGCCGAAAAGTTTTGATGAATGGGAATAAATATGTGCTTGGTCAGTATTAATCACTCTGTTTAAGACCGCTTAGAGTCTGGGTGCTGATAATTACCCTCGCCTCCGGCTCGGGTAATTATCAGCACCCAGACTCTAAGCGGTATTAAACAGAGTAAGTGAAACCTCCCGAGCACACATTTATTCCCTTATTTATGAGTGATTACCCCTCATTCCAGTGCATGCTCATATATTGTTTTTATGTTGTTTTTTGTTTCTGATTTTCCCCCCTTTGTAGGCTGTAAGTATGGCGTGAATTCCATCCATTCATCCTCTTGTTGAAAAGTCAGACCCTCCTCAAATTTTGTCCCCCTTCTACTGGGGGGATGGGGTGCCGTCAACCATCCACACACATCCCCTTCCACACCCATACAGCAAACCAACCAACCAACCAACCAACCAACCAACCAACCAACCAACCAACCAACCAACCAACCCCCTTGGCTTCCATCTAGACCCGGTGTTACCTTTGCTTCATGTCCGCTGCTAACGACAGGCAGATAAAGTCTGTAGTTTCAGTCAACCCGGTTTTGATTACAGTTTTTTCTCATCAAATTAACATTTTTCATTATGATCTTATCAATAATGTCTTGGTTTGCATTTTGGTCTGTAGTTTATCAGTTGAAATATCACCTTTTAATGTGTTTTTACTGAACCGCAGATTCATTGGGATGAATAAAAGAAAATGTGCACAGTTAATAACCTCAATTAAAAAGACCAGCTTTTGCTCAAACCCATTTACACTTCCAAGATGCTTTTGAGATCAAGATAATTAATTCAGCCAATGTTCTTATTTTCTGTTCTACATAAGTCTTTCAAAGGGATCAAAATTTATTAAAAGTCCAACCTGATGGACTGGCTAAGATATTACAAGAATAAGTTGCGTACATTTGACGCAAATTTTGGAAGCAGACAGATGTACTTGGATTTGTTTTATTTGTTTTCCTTTTCCACGTCAGGATACTTTCATCAATCTCAGTGTTTTGAGGCTGTTTCGCGCAGCTCGGTTGATCAAACTTCTTCGTCAGGGGTCCTCCATTCGAATCCTTCTCTGGACATTCGTTCAGTCTTTCAAGGTAGGATGGCAGTTGCTTATCAAAGATTTAGATTGTGCACCCAGAATTCACACTTGACAGAAAAATGGTTCAGAAGTGCGCTCTGTTGCACTCCTGACACAAGAGGGCCTCGTAGTAACCATTCAACAGATGGAAGACAGGAATTCTAAATATCATCAAGATACCAAATGTATGAATATACACCAGACTGACTTATTTCCCTGTCGACATCCAAGAGTTGCGTCAGTACTCTGAAGATTTAAACCAAATCGGACCTTGCAAAAAGTAATGAATGAACTAAGGATTCCTCAAAAAGTGCCCTAGGCAATGTAGCTCGCAAAACTGAAAAATCTGTAGAGAGAATACATGTGAGAAGAAATGACAGTTTTAGAGGTGGGAGGAAACCCCTGAAGAATTTCCTGGGGAAACCCACGGAATCAGGTAGGGACTGAAAACCCAATCCACATGTGACCAGGGCAGCTATCGAACCCAAGCCATAGATGTGAAAGGCGAGAAAATTGCTAATCTACCTATGTTTCTAACTAGTAGAACACATCTTACATCTCTTCTTTGTCCTCATAGTCTCTACCGTGGGTCTGTCTGCTGACTTTCATGCTGTTCTTCATCTATGCAATCATAGGCATGCAGGTAGGTCCCTCCTCACTGTCCCGTGTTTGTTCATTCACAATGTTTTACCCGAAACTGTCCTAAGAAGGTTGTTACATACCATAATTAAAATGATGGAACTCGGTGATGTATGACCGGAGGAATGCATCCAAGATATCAATGGAAAGCTTACAGCCCGTATGATAAATGCATAAATTATGGTAAATAAGTTCACAGCGTGTTCTTATTATCCCTTTGTTCATGGGTAATCTTTTTTATTGGGGGAGGATACCCTGTAGAGCCAATATTACCCCCGAATCATTGATGTTTGGGATATCCGCTGTATTTTGAATCGATTGGTTTAGAATGACAATTTTCAAGGAGTTTTCCTGGATTATTTGAAGAGCACCTTGAAATTGGCTTCAAAGTCGGATTCAAACTTTCTCCCCCTAAAAAGTTGAATTTTAAGGCAGTCCAGTATTTGTAAAGGATTTATTGTTAATTCATATCTACAAATGAAAACAAAACATCTTTAAGGATTCCTGAAATGAAATTTACACTGGAGCATATGTGTAGCAAATTTTGGATCCTCTGAAATGTGTAAAAACTATGAGACGTCTCCTTTCGGTTCAAATGTTTGCAAAGTGCACTTTTCAAAACATTAAAAATGTTTCTTTTATTTTTGAACTTCTGTCTCCAATGCGTTAATGTGTATGATGGTGTCCCCTTGGGTATCTGTCTGGGGGTCCGTTACTCTCTCCCTCTCTACAGGTGTTTGGCAACATAGACACTACCGAAGTTACCAGCGAGATTAATCGACATAACAACTTCAGCAACTTTTTGATGTCCCTGATTTTACTCTTCAGGTGAGATGGGATAGTGTCTTGCATGGTGTGGGGTTTTTGGTTTGCATCATCACGCTATGAATTAGCCTGGAATATTGCAGTTGAAATTTCAAAGTAGTTTATCAGTCCACCTGGAGTCTGTTTTCTTTTAAAACTGCATGATACCGCCCTTATTTTGTTTTACGTTTTCAAAACTTTTTGAGTGGAGATTGGTCGACTGTTTGCTGAATATCTGATGGCTGTTTACTGTACGTTGAAGAAATACATACAATAGTCCCCGTGTTGTGCTATAAATACACCTATGACGCTTCACACTTAAGGAAGTGTTTTGTGCAATGAATTGCAGGTCGCATCTTGGATGGGAGGCGCATTAGAGATATGACGCGTCGCTGTGCTGCGATGCATCGTAATAAGTTGTGAAGAGTTTCGTGAATTCGGGTTGCAGGGCCCAGTGGCAGAAAAGCAGAAAATATTGCCGAGAACCAGTCATGAGCAATATACATTGAGTGACAGTTTGGCTGGTAAACCGTGCTTTCTAAACACATACGTGTTTTGTGTGTACAAATTCCAATGCTTAGTAGCTCCAAAATATTTGCTCTATACTACAGCCTTAGATTTGCTGTTGACCTAACATGATAATTTTGACATAACAGGTTATTATTAAATTAAGTAACCCTCTAAACAATCTTGATTGATTGATTGACAGGTGTGCAACAGGTGACAGTTGGCAGGGTATCATGTTCGCCTGTGTGCAGGGTAGTAAATGTCATCCAGAGAGTCTTCCTCCTGACGCACCCGAGGACAAGATAAACGGATGTGGCTCTGCCTTTTCCTATGCCTACTTTGTCTCCTTCATATTCCTCTGCTCTTTCCTCGTAAGTAGTCCAAAGATGAGGGTTATGACCAGTACATCACACGTCCAGTCTCAAGTAAATCACAAGTTAGTTTACATGTCCTGTCACAAATAGCATGGGATGCAAATGAACAAAGGAATGTCTTCGCTCAGAATAGCTTGTGATTGACTAGTGATGCACAGTAGGCCCAAATGGAGCATGGAAAATACTGATGTCCTTATTTGTTACATGTTTGTCCCAAAATGGAGTCATTTCAGAATGATAAGTTCTCACCCGCCTTTTGTCTGGTTTGTAGATGCTGAATCTCTTCGTGGCCGTCATCATGGATAACTTCGACTATTTGACTCGCGACGCTTCGATCCTGGGTGCGCATCATCTGGACGAGTATGTGCGTGTCTGGGGAGAGTTGGAACCCTCGGGAACGTGAGTATTAACTACTCAATGCTGAGTGAGTCTCAGCATGTAGGCCGATTTGATTGTGGTGAAATATAACATAATAAACTGTCAATTGTGCCCACAAAATTGCAGCCATTATGAGGCTGGCATTTCAGAGTTGTGTCAAGCTATATGGTATCAGGAGCATCTCATATCGTCCCAGATAGGTTTGCCATTGTCCATTGATGAGACTCTGCAGTGGTTTTTTTAATGACTTCAACAGTTGATTATTCGTTGCAGTTACTAGGGCTGCTCCATACTCAGGCGTGTTTGACCCAGGCACAGTTCTAGAGCCTATATTTTAGGGGGGCTAGCAGGGATGGATCAATAAATCTTTGTAGGGAGGCGTGCTGAAATGAGGACCCGTTATTTTCTCCGGACACTTAGGCCTCCGAAAATCAATGGGGGGGGGGGGGGGGAGGGGAGGCTTTGTATCATATTTTCAACAGGGAGCGCTGATAAAATCATACAATTATATGCACACTATATTACATAATAGTGTACAAATTATAATATGTGGCACTGGAGTGTTTGGCAGTAAAAATATTATATGACTGTAAAGGACCCGAACCTGTTAAAGGAATGTGAACAATGACCCACAGTCCACAAAAAAGGTGACAGTCAACAAAAAGTAGCACTTTACTTTACAATTAATAACATCACATGCAGTCGTGTTTTTTAAATATGCATATTTTTTTTTCTCATATTAAAGGGAATATACATCATTTGCTTTTGCTGTAATTTTCAGAAATGGATGGAATAGGGGGGTTGGAAATATAAAGCAAATATAGTTACACTGACTTTTTGGAGGTTTTGGGTTCGAAAATGCTATAAAAACCAAGAAAAACGATCATTTTCCTGTAGTCTGGTTCCCTGACTCCATATAAGAAGAAACAGAGCAGTTTACATACATTGGGGAATTGTAAGGTCAGGGAACCAGTCTAGCTGGCTCGTACCCGTTCATAGGTTTGTAATCGATTGCAAACAAGTGTAATGGTCAATTGGGGCCAGTATTTGAAAAAAAGCCAGTTGTTTCCAACGCTGATCGGCTGATCAGCGTTGGAAATTGATACAAAAATACCACTTTTCTTGAAAATGACAGTATACCAGGTGCCATAATTTTACAGGATGCTTTAGACTGTCATTTACCAACATCCTGTTAAGGTATTTCGCAAAAACTTGGTAGTTTTATTTTCGATGTTTGCAAATGTTGTATATTCCCTTTAAAACTGGAAAAAAGCTTTTGGTGATCGTATATTCTAGTATGTGGTATATTCCAGACACCCCTAGAAGTTGCTTAGAAATCCATCCTAACAAGTACTTGATTCAAATTTAGTTTGGCTCCAAATTTACTTTTCTTGACTCGAGAACACCAGTTTTGAAACGATTATAAGGTAGCTCAGTAGATAGAGCACCAAAAAGGTAGTCTGGAAGGGACGGTTCGAATCCAACTTCAGTAAATTTATACTTCCTTGTAAGATGGCATCCAGCCATGAGACATTGACTCTCTTGTCAATTGGATTTTTTGTAGTAACTCTTGCTATTGTCATTTTATGTTATGGATTTGTATGTTTCAGTGGTCGTCTGCAATACAGAGACATGTATGAAATGCTGCGGAATATGGAACCTCCAGTTGGGTTCGGTCGGAATTGCCCCTACAGAATCTCGTACAAGGTAAACAATCTTTTTATCTCATCCATTTATTATCTGATAAATAGTTGAGTCAAACTTCGTTTCCCCCTCTTGATAAACTTGAACATATTTATGCATATTTTTCATATACTTTCCAGTCACTGATATCAGTCTTAAACAGAAATCTTGGAAATTCCCTTCGAGAGTGTGACTTTTTTCCTTCTTTCTTTACCGTCAGCGTCTGATACGAATGAACATGCCCGTCGCTAAAGATAAAACGGTGCATTTTACCACCACTCTGATGGCACTGATACGCACAGCTCTAGACATCAAGATAGGAAAAGGTAGGTGGATATTTCATGTTACCAACAATCAAACATAGTCCTGCCTCCCTGCAGTGGATTTTGATGAGTGGAAAAACCTTGGTCGACTGGTAAACAAATATTATATAATTATAAGTGCAGCGGTAAGAATAATTTCATGAAGCGAAAGATGGAATGTTCCATTCCACGAGGAGAAGCCGACTGGAATGGAACATTCCATCTGTCACCAAATGAAATTGTTATTTCCATTGCACGAATGGGAAACATCCATTATTTGTTTTATACAACACCTAAATAAATCCTTTTCAGCCGCCAAAAGTGTGACCGTGCAATTCACTTCCATTTGCCTTGGAGTGGAGCTTCTATTTTTGCCGTGCAGCCGCGCCGTGCGTTAGGACGTATAATTCAGTTTCAGAAGATGGGGAAAAAATTACGGGTAACAGTGGTTGAATCACGGGCTGATTTAACCACGGTGAAGCCAGGCTGTGATTCAGCACTGCCATCTGGCCTGAAATTTGGTCAACGGGTACTCTGAAGTACGCAGTTATTTTTATTATTGCGGAAAGGAGCCCTGCTGATTTCCTTTGCCCTCGTGCGCATGGGACAAAAGCTGTTTTTACAATTTTTATTCCGTGCCCCCAAAAAGCAAATTTAGGCTGGAAACTAATGCCTATATTGGCGATGTAAGGGGTTTCCATAGGGAAAAAGCGACAAATCTAGACAAATTGAGAGAAAATGACCCTAACATTTGGACCTCTGTACATTTTCAGTGGACTGCTTTCACTTCCTGCCGCTAGGCCTATTTTTACGCATGCATGCATAATTATGAATTTGTTAGTAAAAAGGTCCACATGACTAGACTAGCCTGACTATAGTTGATTAGCATATTGGTTTGGGCCAACTATGGTTAACCAAAGTTCCCACTGCTTTATTTAGGTTGGACTTTTGTTGATAGTTGAACATGCCTCATCAGGAGTGGTTACCCATAACATGTCAGGGTTTTGTTTATTTGAAATTTGCTCCCAGTTCATGTTTACGTAAAGTCTAAAGTAATGTCTTCATATTTTGAAAGCATGTTTGTGTAATTGTCTTGTGGTCCGTTACACGTTTTTTTTTAGTTGCCGACAGAGATCGTCATGATCGTGAGCTGAGGGAGGCTGTCAAGAACTTCTGGCCCATGTTGAACACTGAAAAGCTAGATTTGCTGGTCCCTCCAGACAGTGGTAAGAGAACAATATCTGTACGGGTGTTAAAATCAAATCTTCCGCTTTGTAGTTTAAAAAAGAGTCCTTTTCAGACTTTTATAAGATGGAATTTTCGTAGGAGATATGTAAATTATATTTTCGTTTTTGCCCTTCACCGACTTTATTTTACAAACACAGTATACTCAGTGTTGTCTGAGGGCTTGCGGGAAATAAAACGCCCAGTTTTAAAATTGTATCACACATTCTAGTCGCATTTTGGCATAGTTCGTAACAATTTGTGTCATGTATAGAGAAAAACAATTGAATATTAAAATTACAACTTGTCTAAGGAATTTTAGTTAACGTATTTGAGTATTAAACATTACAAAAAACGTATAAACTGCAAAGAAATGGGAAACATCGTCTTTCTACACCTCGGGGGAAATCCCAACTGTACATTTCAAAACGTCTCCTAAACAAGCCTAGGAAAGATGGGTTTTCAGCTTTTTTTTAATTTCCCCTCTTTTTCATTGATAGAGGTAATCGGAGAGAAACTGACCGTTGGTAAGATTTACTCCGCCCTACTGATCTATGAGACGTGGAGAGAATACAAGGCGAAGCTACAGAGAGACGGTCACGCTAGAACGGTAAGAGAAACAAAGATAGAAAAAAAGGCTGCCAGAAGACAATAATTACAACTTTAGCAACAACAGCAACAACAACAAAATGACCAACAGTAACAACATCACCACAGCATAAGCAACACTTCCAATAAAAGCAACGGCAAAAACGTACAGCGCTTATACATGTACAACAAACTACAACAAACTACAACATCAGCAGATTAATAATAATTTAGATATTTGTTTGTCAATCCCCACTCTGTGGTCCCCAGTCTTATGCCTTGAAGATTGGGATCTATTTTCAACCCCAGAAACAAAATCTTATTACGATTTGTCCCAATTGTGTGATTAGAACTAAATTTCCTTCTTTTTAGACTTGTAAAATGATTTTTTTTCAAGTTTCTTTTGCTTTTCATGACTTTACTCCCACATCAAGCTAATGGAAGTTATAGTAAATATTTTGATATCTGCTTAGAATCACACAAGTTTGGCACAGATTTCGTCCAGCACAACCCGACCAAATTCTTTCCCGGACTTATACTGACACCTGCTGTGTTACTGCTGTGCTTCACAGCATTTCTTATAAACAAAGAAAGCGTAGTTCTTTGTAAGAACATTCCTACAATCTTGATGCAGATTAGTCTGTGTTTGTGGACGTCTTGGACACTTTGTGGGTTATTTATTTTGTGGAGGGCTTATCGATTAGGGACTTCAACTAAAACTCCCATGTTATTTCAGTTTTTCTCAGTAACTTTAAACTTTGAATTTCATCTAAAACCCTGATATTGAAACATTCAAAGACCAACAACACAAAATGTCTTCATGGAAAAAAGGGCGCCGTACATTTTTATGTCGCCTGAATGAAGTTTTTGGAGACACTTACTAGTCCTAAATTCTGTATGACTGTTTGTATGTTAAAGTTTCTACAAAAATGTGTAAATGCTACATGCTCTCATGGATCTTGATGAAACTTGGATGGAGTAGTCCTTGGGTGGGGTTCATCACAACTCTTCCCAAATTGGCGTTAAAAGGTCATCCACGGGTTATTTGAAGTCGTCGTTTAAAAATGAACGACAGAATTGCTTTGTGAAGTCTGAGAAACAAACATTTTGTTACAGCTGCCATGCTCTCTAAATTTTTTGTTTCAAATTAATACATGTGTTTGCAATGTTGTTATGACAAAGTGCAAACAATCTGACTTTTTCCCTCTATTTTTACACAAAGCTAAACAAAAGTGTGATTTATGTGCTCGGTCAGTATTAAACACTATGTATAAGACTGGTTGGAGTCTGGATGCTGATAATTAGCCTCGGCGAAAATACCTTTTCCGGTCAAAAAATCAAAACTTCTCGGTCCAAAAGTCAAAACAAGATTTTGTTCAACAGTTTTATTTTCTGTTTTTCGAAATACCCTTCTAGCTACTTAATTGAGTGTCCAGCTTGTGGCATTCCCTAATTCTTGCTGACAATTCCCTTAAAAAATAATTAAAATAATTAAGAAATTTGCTTTCATGCAATTCCATATTTACAGGGTCCAGCAGCTTCCAGGTTTACAAACCGAGGTTAAATGTGTCAGCTCAAACAAAATATTAATGTGTAAAATTAAACCATGCTGAATTTTTTCTCTTTTGTTTTGACATTTAAAAAAAAAAAATGACAGCTTCGATACCAGAAGCGAATGGAGTACCTTCGGAAATTCCGAGGCAGTGGCGAAGTGTTAACCTTACAGGTCCCTACTGCGGATGGTAAACATCTTAGACAGAGAGTTCACGAGGTATTTGTCTAGCCGAAACCTCCATGCTTAAAAGTCGCTCATTAACTCACAATGTCTCACTCTGGAGAACATAACCTTTCTGATGCCTCGCTCTTTCTTGATGATTTGCGCACACTTGTGCAGGGAAAACTGATACACATGTACTAACAATAAATATTCTTTATTAGAAAGAAGTCCTAAACTTGCGTACTAACAATCATTAAAATGCACATTAATATAAGCTTAAAACCATTGCTTTGTACCAGATAGATTAGTTTATATAATTGTAGACCAGGAGAGTACAATAGCCAATTAATTTTACTTTGCTGAAGTTCAGTCTCATACAATTTACATTTTTTATTATGAATTATCTGTGAATAAATGTAAAGTATTTGTAGAACTTGCATACTCCAGAGCCAATTTGGAAACACTTCTACAAAGGTGTCGTTTTACAGAACTCTGTGTCTCTGTTTCCTTGGTAGAGGGAAATCTTTCTCCTCATCTGTCATATTTTTCTTTTTATCACAGGTGGCAGTTTCTTTCATCATTTCATCTGGCTGTCCTAATTTTATTATTTCTTTTCATCTGCATTCTGCACGCAAATCATCATAAAATCTTAATACACCACTCACTTGTTTTCATATCTCAAGCAACCTTTTAGAGAAATAAATTTGATCACAAATTTCAGAATTGGAAAAATAGAGCCCAATTTTGTGGCATTGTTACGGGAGGGATATTTTGTGTAAGAATTTGTTTGCATTATATTGAAGCAAGAAACAGCACAATAAAGCATTTGAATGAAGCATGCATATTGTTATCGCAAAATCTGTACTGTTACATGTTTTGCAAATCATTAAATACTGCCATGAAAGTGGCTACAAAATTTGCAACTTAAAAACTTTTTCTTTGGATATTCACAAATAATGCTTCAATTATTTAATTTTATGAAAAACAAGTTTATTTTATAAGAAATACAGGTACTTGTGGACACGGTAACAAGTTCAATTGCAAAAAAAACCTGACGATAGATTAGAATCAGCTTATGGTTTACAACTAATGAATGTACACGAACAAATACAAGTTGTACTTATTCCTGGTCAAACATGTAGCTGTATTTTTAACTGAAAGATCCAATTTCTTACTCAGTTTCTTTCCACATTTTTCTCTTGAAATGTTCATGCTTTGTCATTCTAGCTACTGGCAGAGGGCATCACAAACCAGCATCTAACATCAGATCACACCTGCACCACAATGGGATCTTCCATTAACATTTATAATTATTATGATTCGGGTCGTACCATTTTGCCCAGTGAGGGATGGAAAGGTTTATGCTCGTATATATTGTAAAAAGGAAAGATGTGTTTACTTTAAGACCAAAATGTTTAATTTTATGAAACTGATATTCACTGTTAGCTGCATTTGTTGATCTTCGGTGGCTAAAATATGTCTTTCCCCCCCCCCCCCCATTTTTGACCAAACAACAACTTTCACAATCTGTTGTCATAAACCTTTCCTTGCCATGACCTAAGGGCTTCCGATTTTGGGAATTTGTCAATTTTGTGTGTTTTTGAATAATTTTTTATTGTGAAGTTGCTTTTGTGTGTGTCTTTTAGTGTTTTTTGTTTGTTTAATGAGCACGGGTGTGTGTTTTTCCCCAGGAAACCTGTGTGTAACGTCAGGTGAAGGCTTGGTCAACCATCTTGCCTCTTCTTCCACCCAACCTGCATGCTCCCTCTGATGGCCTGATCAATAAAGAGTTGTCTCAAACTCCCTTGCAATTCCGTTGTCTTTTCAACATCTGCAAATATTGAAAAGTGTTTTAAAACGCTCAATTTGCAGTCAATTGCAAATTATTTTAGTTTTTTTTTTTTTGGCAAATGGTGATTATATTAGTTTTTAAATACAGATTACAAAGTGTTTCTAAGGCTGTTTATTCTTTGTTACACATTGAATAAGACATCCATATTGCCATATTGATGCGTTGCTATATAGATTTCTATGGAAACCATGAAGATACCTGGAACCTGCCGTTATGACAGTTAATAACCTGCTTGGCCTTTGCAAGTTTATTTTGAGAAAGATATGCACAATCAAATTTCGTTTCCTAATTCCTAGTTCCAATTTCCCATCCCGCAATGAAACACCTCCTTATCCTCCATTGTATCTCCATCCATTCTCCAGCCATGTCCCTCCTCATCATTGGTCCAACCTACCTTAGCGTAGGTCCTCCCTTCTGTGGCCTCCTTCCCTTCCATGCATGGCCCCACCCTTCCTTAGCCAATCCTGGTTCCACCCATTTCTGGCCCACTCTTCCTTTGACCCACAGTGACTTGGCCAAACCCATCCCGGTCCACCTATTCACCAGCCCATCTTTCCCTATCCCAACCCAACCCTTCCTCCACCCCTCCCTCACCATTTAACCCTTCCCCACCCTTCTGTGGCCTTGCCCTTCCATAGCACCACCCTACCTTAGCCCCATAGTTGATCCCCCCATTCCATCCCCACCCATGTGTAGCCCGGTCAATTTTCTTTGCTACACTCCACTCTTCCTTGGCCGAATTGATCTCTTTGTCATCTAATTGGCAGAATTGATCTCCTGTCATGCTATCCTTGTAATCTTTCTACTGCAGTCATTTCCCCTTTACCTCAGCAGGATCAATCCTCGATTATTGTGACTTGCCTGAGTTTCGTGTTTGTTCACCAAAACACTTAGCAAACAATGAGTTCTTCTTATGATTGATGAATTCTTCTTATGGTGGATTTAATCGTAAGCTGACATGGAAACATTTGTTTTTTCTCAAGGCATCAAGCATAACAATTTCCAATTTGCCGTGATACGCATAGCAGTCGGAAGCTGGAATAGTCATATGATTTGCAGGAACTCACTTCATTGGTGGATGAGCTGAGATTTGAATATATGTATTCAAATTTGATGGTTTGTGGTTATGGTTTAGGTTCATCTTAAAGTCTTGTTCTCCGAACAGGTTTGGGTTGGTTTTTCCAAGGTTACCTCAATACCATTTTCCTTTTTTTGCAGGGCATCACATGTCGGTGACCTTTGACCCTTTCAATGGTACCATGGTTACCCACTGATTTCAGATTATTTGTAGTGGTGATTGGAGGGGAATTAGTATGAACACAAACATTGGAATGATTCTGAAGTCGATGAAGTTATGAAATCGGTTGCACAAGTTTTTTTTACACATGTATATTTTCCATGGAGAGGTGTATAAAGTCATAATTTTATGTTTTGTATCCAAATCGATTATTATTGTATTATAAGACGGATATTGCTTGATGGCAATCCTAAAAAGAAAAAAAATTGTTTTATTTGTTCATAACTATCCAACTCTTTTGTTGCTTTTTAGTTTTAGTTTTATTCTTTTCATAATGCAATGTTTGATGATAATGCTAACTATGAGTCATGGAAATCATCGTGAAATATGTGTATTATATCGGGTGTATTATGCAATGTCTTTCAGTTTGCAGGGGCGGATCCGGGAATTTTCGCGGGGGGGGGGGTTCATCGGCCAAAAAATATCTGAAATGCAGACAGGGTTTTTTTTCTCCGGACACTTTGCCTCCGAAAATCAATAGGTGTTTTTTTTTCGTACATGTACATATCTCCTCTAACCAAGCTGGCTGTGTCCGTATTTTGTGCAAAGGCGGACATTATTACCACTACAAAATGTTTGGGTGTCGGGGGGGGGGGTTCCGCATTCCCCCCCCCCCCGAATTTCTATGGAACAACATTTTTTTTGACGAGCTGTTGTTTTTTTTACCCCCCCGGATCCGCGCCTGGTTTGTGTCAATTTTGCTATTGTGTGGTTTTATTTTGTATACACGTTGGGTGTATGATATTTCAGTGTTTCCTGCATTTGAAGTAGTTTTGTAAATCCAGTACTGTTGAAATACCTTCTTTTTTTATTTTTAAATAGCAACAGAACATAACTGGTGTGGAATTTATTACTGTTTTTCCCATTAATTCAAAATAAGAAGTATAGATTTGTGTTGCTTACTCAGAAACAAAATCAGAAATCCATGAAAACAATAAAGAGTAGGAAAATAACTTACAACTGGTTATATATTTTGTATTCATAATTTTAAAACCCCCATAATTTTAGGTCTTTGGTAGGTAACTGTACAGAAATCTTTGGATAATAAAACTGGGTTTTATGGAAGCATTTTAAGATATGCTGTAATCCTATATTTCTTCCTTTTTTTCTACCATTTAATGCTTCTTTCGTGAAGCATTAAAAGATCACGACGTCTTCCAAGAAAGATTTGAGAAAGTTATGCAGTAACACTTTATGTTTACTTTCATATGGGGATTAGACAGGACATAGTGATAGTCAAATGTACTGTTATTGTTTTCAGCGCAAGAAAAGAAAGTCCACGCTCATTGGAGGAGTCACAATTTTGAATCTGATCGTCTCATGACAACAGAATTTATATAGACCTTTGGGGAATGTTGTTAGCTACCTTTTGGTACCCCGTTTGCTACCAACACCAGTGGCGCAGCAAGGTCAAATTTGACTACAGATTTCTCCCTCGTAACAACAAGACGATAAGCCTATAGCTGCTCCCACACACAATTCTATTCAGTTGAATCGGTAAAGAAGTATAACAATTCCAGTCCTGAGCCAAGATTACCTTTGATGATGAATCCTTTGTTTTTATTGGAACCCGATGCGGTATTTTGCTCCTATATCGCTCACGGTTTCTGACTAACCGTCTTGTCAGTTCTATTTGCTCCGTACGCGTATTGACCGTCTTTTTCATGAATTACGTTCCTTGTTTGCTTGGTTAGTTTATGTGGTTTATTGTCCAATTGACAGATGCAACGTAATATTCATAGAAAATTGAGAACAGATCTCAAATGGGTAAAAAGAGTTAGATAAATTGTATGGCTTGTTGCATGCCAATTGTCATTTGGCGTATGTTTTTATTATCTTCCATGCCAATGCACGTGCGTTTTTGCCTGTGTTTTAATTTATTTCTGCGTGTGAACCGCGTACAGGTTCACCAAAAGAGCACCAATTGAAGGGAGCCAAAAAATAGTTACATGTAACTGAATATTTAATAAATACCATAAAAATCCATCAGAAACATAAAGGCGCCGAAAAGCTCACTATATTGCCCGACGATATATCCAAATAGCTAATAAACCTCAATAGTGGCGCCATGGGCTGCACCATTTACGATATAGCCAGGGGCGGTGGAACCGGGGGGGGGGGGGGGGGGCTGGGGAAGGGGGTCACTTGCCCTCAGATTTAGCCAAGTGCTGACTAAAATGTGCCCCTTCGAGCATAAATGTGCCCCCTCCCGATGAAAACAAAACTGGCCCTAAAATTTCGGATAATTCCCACAGACGTTAATAGTCACGAGAAAAAAAAACCAGACGTAGAGCCATCGCAAACACCCTTTTTGTGGCGTGGCAGCCATAGTAAAATGGGGGGGGGGGGGGTAGTCATGATGCCCCTATGAAAAAAAGGTGTGCCTTCCTTTTATAAACGGATTAAACTCCACACAGACAATATATTCATGAAAGTCTTTCTTTTTTCGAATGTGAAGCCATCACCAACTTACCCTTTTAGAGGCGTGGTATCCATTTTTAAAAAAATAGGGGGGGGGGGGGTACTCAATATGGCCACCGTGGAAAATTTCCACCTCAGATAAACTCCACCTCAGATAGCTCTTCTAATGTGTTGGAGTAAGGCCACCTTTATAGTTGGAAGTGACTGTTGGCAAACCCTTTTTGCTTACATTATGCATTCTTGCCTCATGTACATGTATATTAACCCAGTTACTGGTTCTGTCGTCTGTAGAACTGAATTATTTTTAACCTCTCAACTGCAGCAATTTCTGAATTGGGGTATAAACTGTGGTACCTCAGTTAGTCTTGGAAAGACTGGTGTTACTTTCAAATACATTGTGTGTTTCCCATGCCTTTTTTTCTGACAGACCCAAAGGCATATGCAATGTCGCAACCTGTATAAAGTATAAAATGTTGTCAGGGCTACTGAATTTTTTTATTGGATTTGGTTGGGGTAAAACACTCATCAGAGATATTGATCATTTTAGTGAACAGATTCGTTGAATGTGAAGTCATAGTGGACGTGACCACAGAGTACATCGTGCTGTGACCCAATCTGCTGTCAATGCGGCGCAACGTGGGTAAGGGTAGGTTGATTTTGCACCCCCCCCCCCTCACCAGGAGAAAAAGCGAACAGATAAAGAGAAAAAAGAAAGAATGGACTGAAAGTCAGTATGTTACTTCACATTTAACGTATATTGAAGACTATTGAAATGGCCATAAAATGTGATTATAAATTGTTTTAAGCAGCGCCCCAAGCGTCATATGCCCCCCCCCTTACAAGGATTTCCTTAGCCCTTAAATAGAGGTTGGGGCTGCCATTGTGTGCTGTGTATTTGTGATTATGAAATCACTCTGGAATTTAGATGTGCATGATAATATTGGTGCATGTACACACGTTGAACCCTTTAACTGGTTTGCCTACCGGTACTTTCCCATGCTCTTTGGTGTAAGTCATAGTGTCACCAAATAATATCACATAGGTTATGGGCCAATCAACATTATAAGAAATCAACCACAAAATATACAAATTGTGGGCACAGTGAGTAGGCCCCTCACGCCTCTAAAAAGATGAGTTTGCTGTGGCTCCACATCTGAATTTATTTTCTTTCACCAAGTTTGTGTGAATTTTACTCATTTATGAAAGGTAGGCACAAGTTTCGATGGTGGGAAAATGATTAGTAGCCCCCCCCCCATTTTTTTAAATGGATGCCACGCCTCTAAAAGGGTAAGTTTGTGATGGCTTCACATTCAAAAGAAAGATTTTCATGAATATATTGTCTGTGTGGAGTTTAATCCGTTTATAAAAGGGAGGCACACCTTATTTATAGGGGCATCATGAGTAACCCCCCCCCCCATTTTACTATGGCTGCCACGCCCCTAAAAGGGTGTGTTTGCGATGGCTCCACGTCTGAATTTTTTTTTCTCGTGAATATTAGCGTCTGTGGGAACTAGCTTCATTCGTGTATGAGATGTGGGCGCATTTTCCCATGGTGGGCATAATGAGAACCCCGCCCCTTTTTTCAATATGGCTGCCACGCCCCTAAAAGGGTGTGTTTGCGATGGCTCCACATCTGGAATTTTTTTTCTCACAAATGTCAATGGCTGTGGAAAAGTTCCATTTCTCTACGAATGTGGGAACAATGGTTCCATGGTGGGCATAACGAAAACCTCGCCCCCTTCCTTTTTCTAATATGGTTGCCACGCCCCTAAAAGGGTGTGTTCGAGATGGCTCCACATCTGGATTTTTTTCCCCTCATGAATGTAAACGTCTGTGGGACGTTTTATTCGTTCATGAAATATGAGCACAATTTTTCCCAAGGTAGGCATAATATTTACCCCTTTTTTTTAATGGCTGCCACGCCCCCCAAAAGGTACTTTTGTGGTGGCTCCGAATCTGGTAAAGTATATATATATAATTATGTCTTTGTGAAGTTTCCTGCTTTTGTGACAAGTGAGAACAACCGTTTTCACTGCAGGCATGATGAGTCCTGCCCCCCCCTTTTTTTTAAATTGATGCCAGGCCCCTAAAGGGTGAATTTGCGATATGAACATCTGTGCCAAGTTTCACGCTTTTATGCAAAAGTGCACAATTCATCGATATTTTGTCAGATATCCGCTGGACTATTAATGTTGCCAAATTTATTTAAAAAAGAATTGTAATAGTCGCATCAATCACTCTTTGGATAAGAAAGTAATTAATTAGTTCAAAATTAAAATATTAAAAAATAGCAAGAATTCCAATGATTACGTCATTCGCGTCATTTCAAAATTAGTGTGTTGATCAAGTACGTCCTAAGTCACTTGCCAAATGGATTTGAAGTTCTATTATATATGTCGTTATGACCTCAACTTTAAAATGGTGTCACGCGAAAAAGGATGAATTTATAATAATATGTTTTCATAGACACCCTTCACGTGGGGTTTGTGTCTGTGTTTGCATTGAGGCAGCACAGGGTCGCTTCTGGATATTATCCAAATTAAATCTCAACAGTCCAGACTGGGGTATAGTCTTCATATCAGGTGGATGATAGACAGGAGTGACTCAGATTCCTCTAGCAGCTATAACCCTTACATCTATACTTCTCTCCATTCGGCCCCTCTACGCATAAACCATCTATGCATAAACACATACTTTTTAATGATCAGAATGAAAAGACGACAAGGCGTTGACAAATTTTGATCGACATACGGATTTTTGGTTGTCATCGATTTGTCTACGCCTTCGGGACGTCAACTGGGAAAATTACTACTGAAGGTTAGTAAGAACTTTGTACGTACCTGTATTCAAGGAAAGCGTTCGCGCTTAGGTTACAGGACAACCGAAGTCCGCGATTTTAGAGCCAACGCAAGACTTGAAGATGCACGCATTCGATAAAAAGATGCTTAGGGCCTATATGTTATGATCGGTCGGTTGTGCAGCTATGTGGTAGAGACACCTCTCTTCATGGGTGATATAGCTTGGGCG